CTCTCTCAAAATGGTTTCAGACAGAAAGCCCGACAGCAAGAGCCGAAAACAGGCAACAGACTGTGTAACTTAATCTCACTTAATTAGGTTACATTATTCATAGTCTGAATATTTACGTGACCTGACTGAACAATAATATTAATGGTTTAAATCCTGTCCGACCCATTGTCACTGATAATGCAGATATTCAGGTATAGGTTTAGCCTACTTTAGTTTTAAATAGAAAATTATGCTGACAATCTTTCTGAAATTTCAATTTAGTTTGGCAATGAAATAACTTTTTCCTTGGCACAACCATTCCCAGCGCATATTGGTAAATTGAGTAAAACAGCCATGTAGGACAGGAAATGTAAATAAAGTAACATAGGTGATATCGGAAGTGTTTCAAGGACGAAAGACAATTGTTTGCATCAGAAGAGTGAGTGACTCATAGTGAGTATGGATTTATGCCGCTTTTAGCAATATTCCAGCAATATCACGGCAGGGGACATCAGAAATGGGCTTCACACAGTGTTCCCATGTGGGGAATCGAACCCGGGTCTTCGGCGTGACGAGCGAACGCTTAGCAACCAGGCTACCCCACGGCCCCTTGCAACAGAAGAGTATTTAGTATGACCAAACATGTTTATATTTCAGCCCTATTTAATCGTATATAATTAAAACAAATTGTTGATATTGAAATATAATAGTAATACTAAAATGCATAAAATATTCCGGTTAATATAGTTTCAGACACATTACAATGTAAATACACACTTCTTTATCTCATACGCAGAGTAATCAAGTACGGTTTCGTTCTTAAATAACAAGCCATGAGGTAGCCATTATGCGAAAACAACTGCTATAATCAATGAATCCGTTTTCGTTATAAGGAAAACTAATTAGCGTTATACCGAGAGTCGTAAATCAAGAATTAGCCCTAAAGCCAGGTTATACTAGTGAGGTCATTGATTGTGGCATCTGATCCCTCATCTTGGATGACGTCAGACGTCGACGCTCGAACATTGTTAATGATTTAACAGTGGCAGGTATTTTAATGAATGCCTAGAATGACGTGGAATTTGACATGTTTGATTAAAGACATGATAGCCAGTGATATATATCATTCGGACGTCTTGATTTATTGAATTACGCCTAATCCAGTATTATTCAAAGGACTAGACCGGTTAGCCTTGCTCCAAGGCTGTACTAAATGCTAAGCCAATGCACGTATAGTAATTCTATCTTTAAAGAGGCAAGTCTAGATAAGCGGACAGTTGAGGACTCCAGTTTGTTATTTATAATTTTAAAGACATTTTTATTTAAACTGTTCATTATTTCCTTAGAGACTTGTGCAAGTCTATAGACCAACAAGCCGGAAATTAAATACAAATTAGTTGGTCCGCCATTTGAGAATAACTGTATATGGCTATTCTTCTTGTAAACACAAAGGCTAAGTAACTATTATCATGACATTTGAATATACATTGACTATCGTACCCGCGCACAACCACAATACGTCACCCTTACGTTTTGAATATTAAAAGCGCATTTGCTTTAAATTAAGTTTAAAATATTTCCTTTCTAAAATTAAAAAAAACCCAACAAGATTACAATAAACCCATTCTTAAATATATGTATTCTTTGCACAGGTTGTGTTTAAATGAGTGGTTATTTTACTATGACATGCACAGATGTTTTACCAATTTTCAAAATAAACATAAAATATCAAGATTTAACTGATATGACGTAATTTCCTTCAGTATCGCACGTGTAATCGCTGTCTATCTTTGTCCTAATGGAAGATGCACATATATTTGGAAGGGGAAAAGGGTTTACCTATTTTGGCTAGATAAAATATAAATAGATATATAAATAAAGTATAAATATATCAAGCTATACATGATATGACGTAATTTCCTATTGTATCCCATCATATGACATCAATCTTTGTACATAATCCGATACTAGAGGGTCTGTATGAGATACGAGATAAATTGGGTTAAGAGTTTGGCTGCCGGCGTTCTGGGACGCCCTGCATTTTCATGGCGTGGTCAAGTGAATGAATAATTACACGTCAAATACAATATCATTTTCAATCAGTTGCCTTTGCCCTCGCAGCGGTTAGATCAGTTTTGCAGCTGACGGCACGCACACAAACAACACAGATGCAATTCAAAGACATGTCTCTATTGGTAGTCATTGAGTCATACATTAAGGCTGGAAGGTCGAAAGTAACACGTGGTCTAAATACGCACACGTCGGTAGCTTATCTTGCAAGAAACTCGCAAACAATAATTCAACAACAACTATATTTATTTATATATTTATTCATTTATTTATTGTAACTTATTGTAAAGTGGCCATAACTAGGTAAGATAACACCATTTAACAACAATATTTATTTTTATTTATTTATTTATTTACTCACGCCATTGTTCACATCAACACCACTGAAATCAGGTTACAACTACAAACAATGTCCCACATATCTACCATTACACACAATCGACAATTCGCCATACACGTAGCCTCAGTCACAAAAAGGTGTCTGCAAAGAAATTTTAAGCACTCAAAAACACATACAATGCATAAAACAGGACACATTGGCGAATGTAACCATAACAACCAGGTCGACTATTCAAAAGTAACAGAAGACCTAGCATGATATAGACATGGTCGAAGGTATTCAGATCATACGCGTGCTTGGCTAATTTACTGTGCTTAACGACTTATAGTGCTTTCAGTTAATTCACTGATATAGCTTTTCCAGCTGTTTGATGCTAGGCACGATCGTGTATTGATAATTATGATGCATCAAGCATGCTGTTGAGGAATTCTATTGTATGGTGGGGGATGTGAAGAAGCGATTGTCTGTTTTCCCACTGTAACGTAAGGTTATTTCATTTTAAGCAAACGACCTCGGTTGACGTTCACTTTTTAATTTGATTTAAGCGTTTCGTTTTAATCCGAATACACGCTCCAATTCTTCTTTTCGACTGTTTTGAAGGGGTTTCATTTCAGTTGGAAGTTTTGAAACTCTGACGTTGTGATCATCCATGAGAATCTACAGCCTATTCTGAGGTGGTTTCAAATGGACAACGGCCTGTGTTTTGAAAAAATTAATATGTCTTCGATGTTGTCCTGCACGGGTTGTATTTTATGCATATTCCCCAAGGAAAAGAAATAAATAGCATCTAGCTCAATATATGAATGCTATGCATGTTTTAAGATTAGCTTTGAAGCAGAGAATTATGTAATAGATTCGACCTTGTGTACATTTGCAACCACTTTGCTCGTGCTCGAGTTGGATGTACAAGGCTCAATATTGATACCGGGAGACATCATAAATTTGCAAAGTCTGAAAGAGTATGTACATTTTGTAACTTAAACAATATTGAAGACCTGTACAATTTCACCCTTATATGTCCATCCTTAAAGAACATTCGAAAGCAATACGTGCCACATAAATATTTAATTTGACCTTCAGTACAACAATGTATTCGCCTTCTGACGACAACAAACTATCAAGATTTAGAATCTGTTATGTCATACTTGAAATATGCCTTCAAGAACACAATCGGATTGAAATGAAACGTTAATCTTTTATAAAAGATTGTTCCTATACTGCACCATGTGCACTGTGTGTATATGGACCTGTGATCTTTCATACAATAGCATTTTAATTGGAATGTGATTTGAATAAAAAGATCAGGACATATATATGTGTTGATATTTGAAACTTAATTATACAACTGTAACAATAAGGACTATAGGGCTTTTACACATTGCCTTCTAACTTTCGCTGCTGGTCTGGTACGAATTCGGGTCAAAAGGAAAGTCTTAATTAAGACTGTTCATATATACAGTGGGCAAGAAGGTAGCATTTCCCAATAATGTGTAAACGAGAATAATTTGTTATATAGGAAGAATGAAATTTTCTTTTATCAAAGAAGAAAATATTTCAATTTTTCAATAGTTCTCTCTCTGGCTCTGTTACTGTCTTCCTTTAATTTCTTTCTCCTTCCCTTTCTCTCCAATCCCTGCAGACGCCATCGTCTTTCTGTCTCTCTTACCCTACCACCTCCATTCCCTCTCACCGATAGGCAGGCCATGTACAACGTATGTTAAAATCCAAACAGGGAAGAAGTACAATGCATGGCCGCCACTACCCTTGCAGGTTTACTCTGTAGCAGGGAATGCAGTTGCGCGCCTGGTAATTTACGATTTTTAAACCCCGTGTGAGGTATTTAGACGTGTATGGTATTTGCAACATGCTCGTAACCTTTCCGTTTGTCTTAACGGTAACAGCGCGTGACGTTTAAAGGGATTTTAAGATTTTCCAAAAACTCGTGACGGAACAAGAACGCACAAGCCTTACATTGAAAACGGAAGCTCAAAACAGTTTTTACAATTGTGTTTTTGTGACGTTGTTTACATTTCCAGAAACAGGAATGTTGACATTTATCAAAAGTATATAGTGAAACGACATGTTAATAAATGCTGATAACGTATGAAACAGACATGTTTGTAGCCGTCGCAGAGAGAGAGAGAGAGAGAGAGAGAGAGAGAGAGAGAGAGAGAGAGAGAGAGAGAGAGAGAGAGAGAGAGAGAGAGAGAGAGAGAGAGAGAGAGAGAGAGAGAGAGAGAGAGAGAGGGAGGTACATGGGTGGGTCAACAGTACAGTCCAGTTTTTGTAATGCAGGACTTCTGAGTCAGTTGTTCGTATAATTTCAGATGTCATCATTATTATCATTATGTCGACTTTAGTGGCTAATTTGACCTACATTCTATTTTCCATTTTAGAGGATAGTAAATAGTATATACTTATACTCGCGTGCTTCCGTCCATATTCACTATCATAAAACCCATTAACGGCAAAGATAGACATCAAACCGCCACGCAATTACCATCAAAATCATACAAAGCATAAATACGGTTGGGACGACACGGATTACAGTTTTACCTGAAATTGCTTATCAATTAACAGGTAACCTTTTGGTAATTAAAATAAATCTTACCTGAGTATTTGACTCCATACAAATACAAACACAATAACAGCAAAGTCCATTTCGGCACAGGTATTGTTTTGTTATCCATTTCAAATGCACTGAGGTAAAAATTCAGTGATCAATCGTGTCCATTGCGTTGAACCAATGTTCTCTGCGCAGCGAGTCTGATCACGTGACCCCACCAGTTCGGGCGACAGTTTGAGCGAGATCGCAGCAAACATGGGAAATGAAATGTTGTGGCGAACACTTGCTTTGTTTACCACCGTTGTTGACGCTCGGTTAATTTGTTTTAGGTTAAAATTACGTGGAATTTCACGATCTGCTAGGTGTTATGATTTGTTACAACGATTTGATCTGATTTAGGCGTCTCTTTTTCTTTTCCCCATAGTCTCCCCAACTCTCTTTGCTTTCACTGTTAGCACATACACATAAGTTGATCGTGAACGCACGGAACTGCTCCGTACAATGGAATGCTGTCACATTGGTACACCCACAAACCTGCACGAACTACATACAGAAATATCCTTGGAGATGCTGTCAGCAAATCTTGCTGTTCATAGCTTGTGAATTTAAGTTAAAACCCAACAGGTAACTTTCATCATTATCGTACAGGTGACATTTATAACAGATCCTGCATCAGTATATTTTCATTATCCTGCAGTAATGGACATTCTGGCGTGTTAAAACAGAAAACATTTGAGTATTCTACGGTCTTTGATTAAAATGAACATCTCAACATAAACGTGGTCCACACTGGCGACATCGTACACGGCGAGCATAATAATTATTTTACGAGAGCTTCATTCATTTAGATCTGTCCGCGAGAGAGGCTATTTTCGCTAAAGAATAGCCCCAGATCATTATTACACCGGTAAATGGATCAGTGTCTTTTAGAAATTCATTCTCAACTCCCAGGGGAGTATCTACTATATCCTGAACAGATTCATTATGATGTTGGTTGGTTCACAGGGGCTGTCCAAGGTCCAACACTCATTAACTGATAGCCATCTACATATACAGGTAAATAAGTAAAGGGATGTAACGCACACAAACACTCCCTCTCGTTTCTGGGTGGGAAATTATGGAACACACAGCTGGGATTCATACAAAATTAAAGCCAGATAAGTTTCCTTTCGATTATATCCTAAAATTATCCAAATCGGTTCACTATGTATTTTGGAACTACTCTTCCCAGGCAGTTTTATTTTCAGCAATACAAGCCCCTGTAGGTTGGTTTGTTGTTAACGCCGCACTCTGCAATATTCCAGCTATATGGTGGCGGTCTGTAAATACTCGAGCCTGAACCAGACAATCCAGTGATCAGTAGCATCAGCATGTGTCAACCAAGTCAGCGTGCCTGACCACCCGATCCCGTTAGTCGCCTCTTACGACAAGCATGGGTTACTGAAGACCTATGTGATTAAACATCTGTGATACCCTTGGAAAATCCGAAATATACATTTTAGCCTTCCCGGGACATCTGAAAATAAATTTAGCCTTCCCGGCACGACACCGCCGTAAGAGGCGACTAACGGGGTTGAGTGGTCCGGCTTGCTGACTTGGTTGACATATGTCATCGTATCCCAAATGCGTAGATCAATGCTCATGGCGTTGATCACTGGATTGCCTGGTCCAGACTCGATTGTTTACAGACCGCCGCCATAGAACTGGAATATTGCTGAGTGCGGCGTAAAACATAACTGACTCGCTACCTTGAAGATCCGAATTAGAATTGGTCATCAGCAACCCATGTTTGTGGTAAGAAGATCGGTCGGTCACGTTCGATGACTTTGTTGATTCGCGCTATCGAATTTCAGTTGGGTAGATCGATGATCATGAAATTAATCACTGGACTGTCTGGTCCAAACTTTATTATTTACAGACATTCGTCATATGTATAACTGAAAGTGACTTTAACACCAACAAACAAATAATAAAAAATTCGCTCAGCCATTGTATGAATTTGCCCCGAACCTGAACCCACTTAACACACCAGCCGCGTCACCTTCCTGTCGCACCTGCGTGAGTGAGAATTACGTCCCCTTGGATTGTTTACAGGTGACATCACGGCCTCATTCAAAATGGGGACGGAGTGGCTACTTGCGTTACTTTCGGCGATTCTCATCTTCCAAGAAGGTAAATAATACATAATATTACATTTGGGATGAAACAATAACGATTTGCTTCAGTGCGAGTACACACCTGTCAGGTAAGTCAAGGGTGTGCGACTGTCTGTGACATTCCGATCGTTACAACATGGCGGACATTTTAGAACACAATCCGGAAATACTCAGGTGTAATTGTGTCTTCAAAGTCAGCCGCCAAAATGGGATATTTAATGGTGATTTAGGAAACCAAACTTATTTCAAGTATGTTAAATCCTATGAATATAGATGAAGGCTGTTGATAAGGTGTGAATTTATTATGTTTGATGTATCTATGACTAGGTCAATGTTTGAAAGGACAGAACTTAATTTGAACCAACAACACTGTACATAGTGGATTGTTCTATGATAAGTCATAAGAAATCATGGGGCCGAAATCATGGGGAATATAACCTTGAAAACACCCGATATGTTTAACATATTTTAGGAGTTTTGTCGTATTAAGATTTCAATCATGTGTTATCGTGAAAGTAAAACAATGTTTGGTTTATGGCCAAGAACAGTGATCTGTTTCATCATATTCATGCTCATTCCGAGGATTGGACAGATGGCTTCTACAGCAGGAATGGACCATTTAGAGTAGACATGATTTTGTCATAGATGGATTATTGTACTATTACAAAATATTGAAACTGGTGTAAGGTTCAGAGTTTAGAATGGGTTATTGATAAAAAGCGATTTTAATTGCGTTTACATTGCAGTACAAACATCTGCAAATTTTGCTATCAGCAAAATTTTGCTATAGTTATCATAGCTGCTAGGGGCAGTGGGGTAGCCTAGTGGTTAAAGCGGCATAAAACCACCAGGGGCGGATACAGCTTTTTGAGAAAGGGGTGGGGGTTGGGATGTGTGTGCACAGTTCATTTTCACCCGTTTTCACGAGAGTTTCAACGGTCATTTAATAAACCTTCAGGACTCTGGATCCTGCCTATGCTCACTCACTCACTCTTCGCAGAAACAACTAATTTCAGAGAGTTGTAGCTTTATGAAGATCTGCAGCACCATAGCAGTGTTAGGATTTGTTTATCACATGGATTTAAAAAAAATATGATTTAATAACCTTGACATTTTAAGTTGTCAAACTCAAGTCTGGAATTAGAAGTTTAGATGTCAGGCTCGTCTGATTAATCCCTTAGTCTATTGTATACAACATGCACATGTACAGTTATATACAACATGCACATGTACAGTTTAAGGATATACATCAGGCTCATCTCATTAATCCCTTAGTCTAGGCTTGCATTAATCCCATACAACATGCACATGTACAGTTTAAGGATATACATCAGTCAGAGACGCATTGCATACAACATGCGCATGTATGCAAGACTGCCTCTGACCGTCTCATTTCTTCAACATGCAAGACAGGTGCGCGCTTCTGACCCTAATTAATTCAATCAGTGTGATAGGCCTACTGTCCTTAAGCAAAGACGGTGCTTGACCCTAATTAATTCGATCAGTCATCAAACAAGAGTGATTTAAGCTCCCCGTAAAATTATCCTGGTGTGGTTCATCGGAAAAAACGGAAAACTTGCTCCAGCTGTATACATATGTATCATTTCTTGTCTTTTTATCGTCATAGGTGAGTTTTGCGCTTTGTATTGCAGGTGCGGGGTTGATGTGCCACCGCTGCTTCAGTGCCATGGGTGGTTGTGGAGATGAGGTGGAGTGGAGGATGTTCCCCTGGAGGGACTGTGGGCCTTCGAACTTCTGTGTCAAGGTCATTGAGAAAGTGCCAGGTGAGTTGCATGGTGGTGAATGGTGAGTTGTATGGTGGTGAGTTGTGTGGTGGTGAATTGTGAATTGTATGGTGGTGAATGGTGAGTTGTATGGTGGTGAGTTGTGTGGATGGTGAATTGTATGGTGGTGAATGGTGAGTTGTGTGGTGGTGAATGGTGAGTTGTATGGTGGTGAATGGTGAGTTGTGTGGTGGTGAATGGTGAGTTGTATGGTGGTGAGTTGTGTGGTGGTGAATGGTGAGTTGTATGGTGGTAATGGTGAGTTGTGTGGTGGTGAATGGTGAGTTGTATGGTGGTGAATGGTGAGTTGTGTGGTGGTGAATGGGGAGTTGTATGGTGGTGAGTTGTGTGGTGGTGAATGGTGAGTTGTATGGTGGTAATGGTGAGTTGTGTGGTGGTGAATGGTGAGTTGTGTGGTGTGAATGGTGAGTTGCATGGTAGTAATGGTGAGTTGTGGTGGTGAATGGTGAGTTGCATGGTGGTGAATGGTGAGTTGTATGGTGGTGAATGGTGAGTTGTATGGTGGTGAGTTGCATGGTGGTAATGGTGAGTTGTGTGGTGGTGAATGGTGAGTTGCATGGTGGTGAATGGTGAGTTGTATGGTGGTGAGTTGCATGGTGGTAATGGTGAGTTGTATGGTGGTAATGGTGAGTTGCATGGTGGTAATGGTGAGTTGCATGGTGGTAATGGTGAGTTGCATGGTGGTGATGAATGGTGAGTTGCATGGTGGTGAATGGTGAGTTGTGTGGTGGTAATGGTGAGTTGTGTGGTGATGAATGGTGAGTTGCATGGTGGTGAATGGTGAGTTGCATGGTGGTAATGGTGAGTTGTATGGTGGTAATGGTGAGTTGCATGGTGGTAATGGTGAGTTGCATGGTGGTGAATGGTGAGTTGTATGGTGGTGAATAGTGAGTTGTGTGGTGTCGAGTTGTGTGGTGGTGAGTGGTGAGTTGCATGGTGGTGAATGGTGAGTTGTGTGGTGGTAATGGTGAGTTGTGTGGTGGTAATGGTGAGTTGCATGGTGGTGAATGGTGAGTTGCATGGTGATGAATGGTGAGTTGTGTGGTGGTGAATGGTGAGTTGCATGGTGGTAATGGTGAGTTGTATGGTGGTGAATGGTGAGTTGCATGGTGATGAATGGTGAGTTGTGTGGTGGTGAATGGTGAGTTGCATGGTGGTAATGGTGAGATGTATGGTGATGAATGGTGAGTTGCATGGTGGTAATGGTGAGTTGTATGGTTGTAATGGTGAGTTGCATGGTGGTAATGGTGAGTTGTATGGTGGTGAATGGTGAGTTGCATGGTGGTAATGGTGAGTTGCATGGTGGTGAATGGTGAGTTGTATGGTGGTGAATGGTGAGTTGTGTGGTGGTAATGGTGAGTTGCATGGTGGTAATGGTGAGTTGCATGGTGGTAATGGTGAGTTGCATGGTGGTGAATGGTGAGTTGCATGGTGGTGATGGTGAGTTGTGTGGTGGTAATGGTGAGTTGTGTGGTGGTAATGGTGAGTTGTAGGGTGATGAATGGTGAGTTGCATGGTGATGCATGGTGGTAATGGTGAGTTGCATGGTGGTAATGGTGAGTTGCATGGTGGTAATGGTGAGTTGTTTGGTGGGGAATGGTGATGAATGGTCAGTGAATTGAGAGGCTATGTCATGTACAGAAGGTTTAATATGATCACTGCACGATGCTTCTGCAAATGCCATTGATTGATTGATTGAATGGTTTCTGAGAGTCTTGGCTCTATTAATATGAGGGGCGGTGGGGTAGCCTAGTGGTTAAAACATTTGCACATCACGTCGAAGACCAGGGTTTGACTCCCCATATGGGGACAATGTGTGAAGCCCATTACGGGGCTCCCCTCATGATATTGCTGGAATATTGCTAAAAGCTGCGTATAACTCAACTCGCTCACACTATTGATATGATTGAATTATTTGAGACACCAGCCTCTGTTGATTATGATTAACTCAAAAACAAAATTGGAACATGCTAAAAAACCCCAGGCTTCGGTCAGGACGCTCTCCTGGTGATGTTGATTGAGATCTCTCAAACAACACTTTCTTTGTTTGCTGATGTTCAGAGATTGATCAACATCTGGAGGTCGATATTCTAACCAAAGTCTGCAGCAGTTGTCAGTAAAAATACCCAAATGGAAATATAACCTTAGTATTTGATGTAAATAAAGTAAAAACTAATGTAACTTGTAACCCAAGGTAAGTAGTATTCCATCATGTTCGTTGATAATTGGAATAAAATAGATTAAGAGGCTCACAGTCCTTTTAGATTATTGTACTGAATGCAGTATATAATAATAATAAATAAATGTTGTTTCCTATTTGCTTGCTGTGGGCATATTTTGGAATCCTGGATAAATCCTCTCAGCAATATAGTAGTTAATGGGGAACATTCCTGGAGTTGTGCCCCCTTGCCTACTTGGAGCGCTGCAGTAGTTACGGTCCAACAGTAGCTGTCACTCTGATACTGGCATATAGGCCTTCCTATTGGCCAGGCCTAAACTTAAATCGACAATAAACCTACTTTTTACTCTGTGATTCAGAATCTGTTCAGCTGTACTGGTGTCAATTTGAAATGACTCTCATAAGGCTATAAGCAGTATTATTAGTAATATTTGCTTTTTATCCCACCGGCATGTAATGCGGTGGGATATAGTCGTCGCCTTGTCCGTCCGTCCGTCCGTAATCATTTTGTTTCCGGAGCATAACTCAAAGACCGTTCGATATTTTTCAACCCAAATTGGTAGATATGTCAAACATAACCTAAGGTGGTGCCTTTTGCTATTTACAGATTATTGTCATTTTTATTTTTCTCGGTTTCCATGGAAACGTTTTGGACTTAGTCTTAAAGAAGGGTGGGCTTCGTTTCCGGAGCATAACTCAAGAACCGTTCAGTATTTTTCAACAAAACTTGGTAGATATATCAAACAGATCCTAAAGTGGTGCCTTTTGCTATTTACAGATTCTTGACATTTATATTTTTGCCGGTTTCCGTGGAAACGATTCGGACTTAGTCCCCAAAGTGAGGGGTGGGCTTCGTTTCCGGAGCATAACTCAAGAACCGTTCAATATTTTTCAACAAAACTTGGTATATGTATGAAACAGAACCTTAAGTGGTGCCTTTTGCTATTTGCAGATTTTTGTCATTTTTATTTTTCCCAGTTTCCATGGAAACATGTTGGACTTAGTCTCAAAAAGTAAGGATTACTTTCGTTTCCGGAGCATAACTCAAGAACCGTATAATATATTTCAACAAAACTTGGTAGATATATCAAACACATCCTAAAGTTGTGCCTTTTGCTATTTGCAGATTTTTGGCATTTTTATTTTTCCCAATTCAGACTTAGTCCCAAAAGTGAGGGGTGGGCTTCGTTTCAGGAGCACAACTCAAAAACTTCTCAATATCTTTCAGCAAAACTTGGCAGATATGTGAGGCAGATCTTGAAGTGGTGCCTTTTGCTATTTGCAGATTTTTATCCCCCGCAACGCTCTCCAGAAAGCAGCACTATTACCAATTTCAGTCAAACTTGTTGCCATGGAAATGCCAAAAATATTTTATTCAGAATTCCAAAACTACCAAAAGGCACCAGTACACCACCAGACCAATCTATGTGCCAAGTTTGGTGAAGAAACATTAAACGGTTTTAGAGTTCTGCTCCGGAAAAGAGCACTACTACAATTTCAGTCTAAGTCGAACTTGTTGCCACGGAAACGCCAAAAATATTTTATTCAGAATTCCAAAACTACCAAAAGGCACCAGTACACCACCAGATCTATCCATGTACCAAGTTTGGTGAAGAAATATTTAACGGTTTCAGAGTTCTGCTCCGGAAAAGAGCACTACCACTAATTTCAGTCAAAGTCGAACTTGTTGCCATGGAAACGCCAAAAACATTTAATTCAGAATTCCAAAACTACCAAAAGGCACCAGTACACCACCAGATCCATGTATGTGCCAAGTTTGGTGAAGAAATATTGAACGGTTTTAGAGTTCTGCTCCGGAAAAGACAAATGTGCACGGACGGACGGACGGACAGACGCACGGACAGACGCACGCACAGACGGAGTCCATTTTAATACCCCCCGCAAAACGCGTTGTGGGGGATAACAAGAAGACAAAGTCATCAATATCCCCCGCAATGGCAAAATACTCTTCATGATTATGTCTACGAGTTTGGTAGTTTTGGAATTCTGAATTAAATGTTTTTGGCGTTTCCATGGCAACAAGTTCGACTTTGACTGAAATTAGTGGTAGTGCTCTTTTCCGGAGCAGAACTCTGAAACCGTTCAATATTTCTTCACCAAACTTGGTACATGGATAGATCTGGTGGTGTACTGGTGCCTTTTGGTAGTTTTGGAATTCTGAATAAAATATTTTTGGCGTTTCCATGGCAACAAGTTTGACTGAAATTGGTAATAGTGCTGCTTTCTGGAGCAGAACTTTAAAAACCTTTCAATACTCTCCTTCCCCTTTTCTATATACACACCTAAATATTTCTATATACACACCTAAATATTTGACATAATCATAACTCGTAGACATAATCATGAAGAGTATTTTGCCATTGCGGGGGATATTGATGACTTTGTCTTCTTGTTGGTATTTTTATTTTTCCCGGTTTCCATGGAAACGATTCGGACTTACTTGCAAAAGTGAGGGGTGGGCTTCGTTTCCGGAGCATAACTCAAGAACCATTCAAAACTTTTCAACAAAACTTGGTAGATATATCAAACAGATCCTAAAGTTGTGCCTTTTGCTATTTGCAGATTTTTGGCATTTTTATTTTTCTTGGTTTCCATGGAAACCATTCGGACTTAGTCCCAAAAGTGAGGGGTGGGCTTCGTTTCCGGAGCACAACTCAAAAACATCTCTATATCTTTCAGCAAAACTTGGCAGATATGTGAGGCAGATCTTGAAGTGGTGCCTTTTGCTATTTGCAGATTTTTGTTATTTATTATTTTTTTGGTTTCCATGGAAATGATTCAGACTTAGTCTCAAAAAGGAAGGGATAGGTTTCGTTTCTGGAACACAACTGGAAAACTTCTTAATATCTTTCAGCAAAACTTGGCAGATATGTGAGGCAGATCTTGAAGTGGTGCCTTTTGCTATTTGCAGATATTTGTGATTTATTATTTTCTCAGTTTCCATGGAAACGATTTGCACTTAGTCTAAAATCAAGCTGGACTTTAAGTTACTGTCAGATGATTTGTTCTTTCAAAGATGTGGAGGCCGGGGGGATATGTCATCTTCTGATGACTCTTGTTTTGCTCTACAGAAAATGTTATTAAAATGTTTTAACCTAAGCAATTACTTGACAGTTGTAATGTTATTCCTTGATATCAAACATACAGTATTCATGAATAAATATTTGTATTTGTTACAAAATGTTTTAGTACAGTATTGCCTCATAGCGTATTCGTTGTAGCTCTATTAATATACTTATCTGTTAATATTATACACTGTGGATACGCTGAATAGTTCTCATAGCAACCTGTGCTTGTAGTATAAAGTGACTTCATGAATAGTGAGTGAGTTTAGTTTTTTGTCGCACTCGGCAATATTCCAGCTATATGACGGCGGTCTGGAAAATTATTGAGTTCGTCGATAACAAGATTCATATGTAACTGTGCATACAGTTGAAATGAATAAATACATTTTTTATCCAATCTTCTAACACTATTTTCAGGTCAAGAACCGAAATATATCCGGGAATGCGAACACGAATTGATGAAATCAACACGACACAGACTGAGGATGCCCAACTTGCGTCGCCATGGTTACTGTCTCCCAGCACGAAAAAACGACCCATTCAACCCGCTGAGTCTTTCTGACAGCCGGTTTACATACTGTTTCTGTAATGAGTACAATGGATGTAATAGTGCCTCTGATATCAAGCTGAAATATGTTCCAGCTCTTCTCTGTACCTCCATTGTAACACTTCTATTGTCACGGTTATTCTAATAACCTGCTCCCGGCCCCCCAAATCATGGTGCATACATTTTATATGATTTTTTAAAATTGAGGATTCACATGTTTTTGTTACCTGAGAAATTTAATGAACAAACAGATAGTAATGTAAAAGATGGGGAAGAAAAAGGAATTTTTTTTTAAGAAATCCATATGGCAAACAACCATGCTTTCCTGTTCTATTTGTCTGGGATAATAAGATGGCCATGTTGATATTTCATGATTCAAATGAAAATCTAGCTGGTAGTAACTCACATGTTTACAACTTAGCCTTTCTTGAACTTAATGTTAATCTCAGAAAGAAAAACTTACTCATGCTCTAATATTGGAACACACTTCATGTTAATCTCCAAATTCAGCCAGTCACAAAGTCTAATATTCAATAACATTCATACCTTTAATTTTTATGACTTAAAAAAAAAGTTGTCATTTCTTAAAATTATGAATATTCCATGTGCAAGAAAGGTTTCCTAATACCTTGTCCTTACAGTCTCAATATTGTTTTTGAAATGTTGAACTAGAAACAGCGGACCTGAACAAAATACAATCAGTTGTTCCACTTTAATTTACTTAATTGAGTTAATGTCTTTTTACTCCCGTATGCACTTCTTTCACTTTCTGAAGGATTAGTGCTCCAATATTTCTCCAGGACTTCCTTGACCAGTCAATGAATCACTTGAAGTGAACACTATCATTGAGGCCATAAATCTTGATTATCCATTAAAAGTTTGTCAACTTGACACATTCCAGACCCACCACCGGAGAAACCATTTTCAGTGAAAGGTTCAGACGTGAATAACAAGAACATATTTTATATACGTTTTATATTCACTTTATCTACTTCCATGCTTGTAAATAGATGCATTGTAATCAAATTTCATTGTAATCATCATTCTTGTGAGAATCTGTAAATATTTCGATTTTGTTTTTGGAAGGCATATTTTCTTGCTCTGTATAAATACATGCCTTTCTGGAGTCATAAAGGAAATATGTTTACCAAAATACGTAGTTGTGACAGTGTGATGACGGATGCAGTATTTCATAACCTGCCTGTTGAAAATATTTTCTAAAATAAATCTTATCAAATTGATTTTGACATGATTAATTGCATATGATGCTGCTGAAGTGATTTATTGTATTTTGAATTTGTGTGCTTAGTTTATGTAAGGCCTCCAACAGTCTAACATTATTCACAGCCGTGCCTATCATGTATTTTAACGTTCCAGTTTGGTAGATTATCGGCTCCTTGTTGTTTAGTATCAACCATAATGGAATGAATCAATATATTCAATAATTTAATGAAGACATTTACTTTTAAAAATTTGGTTCATGGATTTTACATCATAATTTAAATTAAGTTTAACGCTGACAGCTAAAGGCAGTGTGGGAAGGGTCATATTGACAAATATCCATCTTTCATTTCATTTTTGAGTGTGAATACTTCTTGGAAATAATTTCAAATAAGATTTTTATAGACAAGAAAATCATCGACAACAAACTATTTCATCCACCATGATTACAGTTTTTTCAAAAGAATCCATAGACATTTAAAAATGTGCTTGAAATTGTACAATGACCAAAGGCTGAAACTGTACATTGAAGAAATGTTCTGTAATTTTAAGTTGGTGCCAAATTCAATATGCCAGTTAATGTTTGAAATTTATGTACATTATGTTTATTGGTATTTTCTACTTTGCATTGTACACACTGATGTTGCCTGAACCATCTTTAACCAGACATATTCTGTATCTCATTGGCTAGACATTTGACATTTGACCTATGTTAGATAGCATTTGTTTTATATGATATTTGAATAGATATCATTATTCTTAAAAACGTTTTGTATTAGTTTACAAGAATTATTAAGACAGAAGTGATTTACATAACCATTCCTCATTGTAAATATTATTCATAGCAATAAATTTTGTAGTAAACAACATGATTGCTCTCACTTGATTGTCCTGTGAGGATCTCAGTAGTGAGCTAGGGAGTTTAGTTTTAGCCCCACTCAGCAATATGCCAGCTATATGGCGCCAGTCTGTAAATAATCGAGTCTGGACCATACAATCCAGTGATCAACAGTATGAGCATTAATCTATGCAATTGGGATACAAATATCTAGCCTGACCCGATCCTGTTAGTCGCCTTTTACGACAAGCATGGATTGCTGAAGATCAACAGGTCCCCAGTAGTCTGGTGCTGTTTATAAGAAGTGACTAATAAGTGTTTTGGTAATGGTAACATACCTTCAAATAAATTAATGCCCTCTACATGTGCTATCATATGAGTGTAAACAGGGCTTTCTGTGTCATTCTGAAAATTCTTTATGATAAATGAAAACTATCAATTATTTTTTTCTGCATTAACTGATGCATTAAATAATTCATTGTGTCCATCGGTGGCTTCAATAGAGTTAATGATTAGTACTGAAAGAATTGATGATCATTACAGATCATTTTTAAAAAAAGATGAGAGTTGTACCCCATCAAATAATGTTGTAGTGGGTGGTTAAGTGAACCCCCCGTCCGAAACATATTTTGCTCTTGTTACCATGGAAACAGAGCATTACATATATTACATACCCATTTCATATGACCACAACCATACTTTTCTTGAAGAATAGACATGTATGTACAAGAAAATATAGGTTTTGTCTTGTTATACCATCAGTTGGGGTTGCTCCTATTTTTATAGGCCTTTTGAAGAATGGCCACTGGACTATAAGTTTGACTGGCTTGTTTGAGTGAAAGTTTACACTGAGTATTTTTCTATGTCACTTTTAGCAATATCATGGCGGGAAACACAAAACATTGGCATCACACAATTTACAGACGGGGAATCAGTCCCGGTTGCTAGGTGTATGCTCTAACCACAATCTACCCACTGTCCCAAAGTTTATGACTTTCAGGTCACTGTGACATTGCTATATACACAACAGGGGTGGTGGGGTAGCCTAGTGGTTAAAGCGTTTGCTCATCATGCCAAAGACCTGGGTTTGATTCCCCACATGGGTACACTACAATGTGTGAAGGCCATGACATTGCTGGAATATTGCTAAAAGTTGCATGAAACTAAACTGAGTTACTACAAATACAACCTTTACTCATTAATTAACTCCAGTGTGACCACATCTCTTGTGTTGAGTGTTGTGGATACAGTGTGTGTTTGGTGATTGGAAGGTTGATGGTTAAATCCCCACCTAAGTCATACCTAAACATGTTAAAAATTGGTACTTGTTATTTCTCTGCCTGGTGCAAGGCATTAATGATATAAAAGAAAGATTTAGGGGAATCAAACTTAGCCTTTCAACACTGTAACAAGGAGACTGTAAAAACTGTTGCCACTTAAGCATGGACAATTATAAGTATTGATAGTTTGATTGATCAATCAATCAAAGTTCTTCATCTTGTCCCTATCAGAGGTACACTCCTGCAGCTTACTGTGCAGAGTCGTGTCCCCTAGTCCATGTTCAGTGAGTGAGTGAGTTTTAGTTTTATGCCACATTTAGCAATATTCCAGCAATATCACGACAGGGGACACCAGAAATGGGCTTCACACATTGTACACATGTTGGGAATCGAACCCAGGTCTTCGGTGTGACTAGCAAACGCTTTAAACACTAGGCTACCCAACCTTCCCTAATCCATATTCAACAACCAGTGGTTGATAGAATGAACCCACCCGGAAACATTCCATCCATCTTTATTTTTTTCACATAAATGCTCCACTTTATTGGCATGCTTCACAATCCCAACAAGACTCAGTTGAGATTCATGTCACTTTTAGCAATATTAAAGCTATATAGTCTTGATGGACACCAAAAATGGGCTCCACACATGTATACCCAGGTGAGGAATCAAACAAGAGCCTTTGGCATAACCACCAGCCATTTTCACCTCATGGCTATCCCATTGGATGAGAACATATGAACATGATTATATTTATATCGAAATGTTGCTTGTCATCCATAAAGTTTATGCTTCATTTTTAACTCACCAACTTCTAAAATGCCGATCAAACAATGCTATTTATTGTTGATCAAATGCCATTTCATTAAAAGACAACAGAAGCACTTATTAGACATTTTTATTACAGACAATATCAAACATTCATATAAAACTTTCATGGGATATAACTGGCATGCAGAAGTTGTGTCAATGAAGGCAGGATAGACTTTCATGGGACATAAACCTACTATAGTGCGTTTGGCTCAAAAGTGGACCGATGAATTGCAATCTAACTCAAAAACTAATAAACATATAGTACTCAATGAAACGCTGATCATGATCAAAATATCAGACCAACTCTGTGATTTGTTGGCAGAATTTATGTCCTAAAATTAAAAAAGTTGTTTAACAAACTATCATTAAAATATTGACACAGTTCACTATTTGTTACGAGGGAGGAGTGCAGAGAAAGGGACAGCCAGGTTTTAGAGAAGCACATGCACAAGTGCCGACAAAGTTATTGATTCATTAACCTGTGCTGTGCCATCTCCATCCTTTCTCGCACACCTGGCTGTCCCTTTCTCTGCACTCCTCCATCGTAACAAATAATGAACTGTGTCAATATTTTAATGATAGTTTGTTAAAAAACTTTTTTATTTTTAGGACATAATTTCTGCAAACACCTCTCAGAGTTGGTCTGACGTTTTCATTATGATCAGTGTTTCATTTAGTATTTTATGTTTATAAGTTTTCGAGTTAGATTGCAATTCATCGGTCCACTTTTGAGCCAAACAGACTATACATACAGATCGTGATTGGTTTCATATTTGGCTACAGAAATGTTATTTGCTACAGCTGTATGAGCTGATTTTGGGCTACAAATGTAGAAGTAATGTTTGACTTCAGCTGTAGAAGTAATGTTTGGCTACAACTGTAGAAGTAGTGTTTGGCTACAACTGTGGAAGTAATGTCTGGCTACAGCTGTTGAAGTAATGTTTGACTACAACTGTAGAAGTAATGTCTGGCTACATCTGTAGAAGTAATGTCTGGCTACAACTGTGGAAGTAATGTCTGGCTACAACTGTAGAAGTAATGTTTGACTTCAGCTGTAGAAGTAATGTCTGGCTACAACTGTAGAAGTAATGTTTGACTTCAGCTGTAGAAGTAATGTTTGGCTACAGCTGTAGAAGTAATGTCTGGCTACAACTGTAGAAGTAATGTCTGGCTACAACTATAGAAGTAATGTCTGGCTACAGCTGTTGAAGTAATGTTTGGCTACAACTGTAGAAGTAATGTTTGACTTCAGCTGTAGAAGTAATGTTTGACTTCAGCTGTAGAAGTAATGTTTGGCTACAACTGTAGAAGTAATGTCTGGCTACAACTGTGGAAGTAATGTCTGGCTACAACTGTAGAAGTAATGTCTGGCTACAGCTGTTGAAGTAATGTTTGGCTACAACTGTAGAAGTAATGTTTGGCTACAACTGTAGAAGTAATGTCTGGCTACAACTGTGGAAGTAATGTCTGGCTACAACTGTAGAAGTAATGTCTGGCTACAACTGTAGAAGTAATGTCTGGCTACAACTGTAGAAGTAATGTCTGGCTACAACTGTAGAAGTAATGTTTGACTTCAGCTGTAGAAGTAATGTTTGACTTCAGCTGTAGAAGTAATGTTTGGCTTCAGCTGTTGAAGTAATGTCTAGCTACAACTGTAGAAGTAGTGTCTGGCTACAACTGTAGAAGTAGTGTCTGGCTACAACTGTAGAAGTAATGTCTGGCTACAACTGTAGAAGTAATGTCTGGCTACAACTGTGGAAGTAATGTTTGGCTACAACTGTAGAAGTAATGTCTGGCTACAACTGTAGAAGTAATGTCTGGCTACAACTGTGGAAGTGATGTTTGCCTACAATTGTAGAAGTGATATTTGGATAGACTGTTAAAGTGATGTTTGGCTCTTAATGAAAGTTTAAGTACAAGACTGTATACATGAAACAATATGATTTAAACAATGTAGTAAAACATGTATGTACAACAAAAGGAAAATACACATTCACCCTCACTCTCTCTCACACACACACACCCTATAAAACACTCCTCCGTGTTTGACCTGTGAAGATCTGGGTTAGAATTGATCTTCAGTAACCAATGCCTGTCGTAAGAGGCGACTAACAGGATTAGGTGGTCAGACTCACTGACTTGGTTGACACAAGTCATCGCATCTCAATTCCGTAGATTGATGCTCATGATGTCGATCACTGTATTGTCTGGTCCAGACTCGATTATTTACAGACCGCCGCTATATAGCTGGAATATTGCTGAGTGCGGTGTAAAACTAGACTTACTCACTCACTCTTCCCACAGAGGTTACTTGTCATATCTTCCTACAAAGCTCTGTTCTAATAAGGCCATATTTCCCGGTTCTTGTAAAATCCCCTAGTGGCAATAATTCGCAACACAAATTACCTCCCTTCTTTCTATCCAATCAGAACATGTGTTACATTGACTTAAATCCAACTTGACTAATGCAAGTAAAAATGGGGCCACAAATATCCCACTTCTCTGCCGGAGACTTGTGCGACACACAAGACATCTGATGGCAAGCTTGTCCGTTGTCAACGAGGGGGATGGAGACCCCATTGATCCGGCATTACAAGACTGAATTCTGTCTAGAAGAAACGTTTGCGCATCGCGCAGGGGAAGAGTTTTTCCCGAAGCATACGGAAATCACTAAGGAATCGAGAATGATCACTTTTGAAACAACGTCGCTGATGGCACAACTAAATCTGATTGCAACCAATCACGAATCTTGAACACTCGCACCATGAAAGGTAGTATTAGAACAGAGGTTCGTAGGAAGATACGACAAGTAACCTCTGTGGGAAGACAATGTCACTCTTCCATGCTCATACAAGATGGCTACTAACCCAAATGGCACTATATCAATGGAGTATTCTGGTACTCTCTATAAGATGAAAAATATTTCTTGCCCTTTTAATATATAATAACTTAGTAAATATATTTTACAAAAACTTGAAGTACTCAAGGATCAGTCTGTTTCAACTCATCTCTGAATGTGTATCTACTGTATTCTAAATGTTCGGAACAATGGACGTTCAAACATTCAAACCCTGTCCCAACAGTGGAGGAGTAGTACATATATCCATATGACCAATAATTAAAACCAAACAAAACCGATCAAATAAAATTATATACTTGTTTACATTTAATCACTTTGAGAAATACAGATGAGATAATTTCTTTTATCGCCATCTGTTTCTCACAACTGGCACAGAAATACATACATGTACTTTGAATGCAAGCAAAATATCAAATAAATTCTTGCCTGCAAGCCCATGTCAAGAAACAAAGGGCTTTTTGAATGCATAAGGGCCTCCAACAAAATCCAAGAGACTTAATTTGTTTTCCCCCTACATATAATAAAAAATCATTGGAAAATATAACCATTGGTACCAGCAGACATCTGAAACAATTGAGCACCAACCCTTATTCGTTCTTATGTCACAAATGTATCTACATGTGGCATTTATGATTTTGATCAAAGCAAGGTTCCACCAATTCTTGCTGGAGAGATAGTAGACAAGCAATGTGCATGTTTTGTTCTCTCTGGTGCTCACAAGAACTAAAGGAGTGTTGGGGTTGCCTAGTGATCAAAGTGTCTGTTCATAGCTCGGAAAAAACAGGATTGATTCCTCACATGGGGGCGGCAGGGGTAGCCTAGTGGTTGAAGCGTTCGCTCGCCAGGCTGAAGACCCGGGGTCGATTCCCCACTTAGGTACAATGTGTGAAGCCCATTTCTGGTGTCCCTGCCGTGATATTACTGGAATATTGCTAAAAGCGGAGTAAAACATTACTTACCTACTCACTCTCAGGTACAGAGTCACATCGCATCATGCAAGGAATCAGAGGAAGAAATTGAAAGGGTGGTCATACCATTACTGCTATGAAAGAGTTACAAAACTTGTCATAAGAAAATCAATTCCAGCTCCTAAATTTCAGCTTTAGAATTATGCTGTTACGATCCACTCGCATTCTTGGCGAATCAAAATTTGATCCCTTCATGGGGGCAGTGGAGTAGCCTAGTGGTTAAAGCCTTCGCTTGTCACGCCCAAGACCCGGATTCGATTCCAAACATGGGTACAATCTGTGAAGCCCATTTCTGGTGTACCCTGCTGTGATATTGCTAAAAGCAGCGTAAAACCACACTCACTCATCCCATCAGGTCACTCGAGATGACTGGCCCTCATCTCTGGAACAATCTTCCATCTCACCTTAGAACACAACCAGGTTCAGCTGTTTTTATATCAAATCTAAAGATGTGTCTCTTTGCTGAAGCACTTGAACTCTATGTGATATCTAGACCATCTTAGAGCCAAAGCGCCTTTGAGCGGTTTACGGATATTGGCTTATACAAGTATTTGTATGTATGTATGTATGTATGTATTTGTATGTATGTATGTATGTATGTATGTATGTATGTATGTATGTATGTATGTATGTATGTATGTATGTATGTATGTATGTATGTATGTATGTATGTATGTATGTATGTATGTATGTATGTATGTATGTATGTATGTATGTATGTATGTATGTATGTATGTATGTATGCATGCATGCATGCATGCATGCATGTATCATGAATTCAATTCATAGTTCATGATCAATGAATCAAACATTTAGGGCTTTTAACAGCACTGTTTTTACTTGAATTTGGGTGTTATTTATCAAAGCAAGATATGCAAAAGGGTACATATCCAAGCCAGGCAGAAAAATAGTCAACACTCTCAGCAAATTTTGTTTAATTTTCATAAATAACACTTTTAGACGAGTTTATGTATGACATGCAGAATTTCCCTGTCTGTAATCAGGCAGTCATGTGAATGAGTGACTCCCTCTAAGGTCACTTGTACGCGTCCTCTACTGCTTATATTTAAGTAATGTGCTCATTACCAATTGTCCTAATATATATTAACACTGCCAGCATAGTCAAAACATGTCAAAGAATATATTTTGTTATAGTTTAATATCATAAATAACATATCAACAGCTGACTTGTTATTGTATTTGTTATCTAATATTCGTGATAAATAACATATGTAAATTTATACACAAAAGCAAGCGTGCTTTGTTAAAATTCTGTTTTTTCCAAGGACATATATTATCATGTATACATTTAATTCATCTTGTAACTGGTCTTCAATCAGTTCTAAAATGTTTGGAGTGCTTTTCTATTTATCTTGGTATTTAAAATACAAAAGTATGCTGCAAAGGCTTTTCAGCTCACTTGACAGAAATACTTTCTTTACCAGAAATACTACTACAAATATCTAAAATAGAACAACTATAGTGAGTAGAAGGAACATTCATGTAAAAGATTGAAGAATAAAAATGAAATAGTTTTGCAACATGGCTTAAGACTGCTATCTTAGATACAAATTCTGATGCTTTGAATAAACTTGGACCTTCTTACAGTCTTTAACAACTTGTCATTCTTAGGAATGACATTATAAAAACATTTTGTGACTAAAAACAATGATTTTTTAACAACAAATAAGAACGACACTTGCAATAAAAACACACTGAAGAAAACAAGATATACTATATTACCATAGATAAGCCAATTTTGAGGACCAAAAAAAAGCAGTCTGTTGAAGGGGGTCAGCTAATCCACAGGTTACAACCAAGGCAATCCAGTAATTGATATCACTCTTGCTTGACAACAGTATAAGAATCTATACCGACATGTTGCATCATAATATAATAAAGAAGTTGTTATCCATAAAGTATCACATCTTTCTCTGACTACGTCTAGATAAATCTCTCACAGATACCCCCATCATGGTGAGACATGCGAAACAGATTACAGAATTCAAAGCAGTGGATATCTTGAAGAAAACTGGAGTTAGAGTTTATGTTCACTAAGAAAGTGAGCAGTAAAGTCGTATTTATCCTTCAGCAGCTTGCCACATATATTGCAACAGCGGCAGTCCATCTTGTCGTGCATGCTGCGATGAAGGTGATACATTGCTGCATCCTGGAATATCACACAACAGAAGTCACAGCGGAATATATCATCCCGCGACATCATGTGACGAATCAGATCATCTGACGAGAAGTCCACCAGAGAAATCCGATTATTTGTCCGAATCTGACTCTGAACATGATTGGAGTTGAAGCTTGAGGATAACCTTGACCCATACGACCTTGATCCTAGATGTCTGGAGGGTGAATGTCCGAGAAGGGATTGTCGCAATGCTTGTGTCGGAATCCCGATGTCGGAGCTGGAGTGATTGCTGTCACTTGTGACGCTCACGTTATCAGTGTCGTCTGCTCCTTTCACACTTTTATGTTCAGGCGCAATTTCAACAGAGTCATTCTGATCATTCTTAGGGATGATGCTGTATCTTTGGGATGAGGGGAATACTGGCTGGTTGCCTCCATCTGACAGAGGACTTTTGGAGACGGGATGAAGAGGAATCTTACCATCAAGCCACTTGTCCGACTGACTTGTAATCAGACTGTCTGTGTCGGTTTCTAGATCTTCTACTTCCGTCTTGATTATTGTCTGAATATCAAGCTCTGGCTCCATCTTCCGTACAAAGGCTGGTTTCCTTCTCCGCGTTGACGAAGGTAGGGGAGACAACCCTGTCGAATCCCCTCCATCCACAACCAAATCTCGGACCAACTCCGGTTCTCTGCTGTTTGCGGTCAGTTCTGTTGTTGACCATGTTCCACTCTCGTCCAGCATGTGCTGTTGTATGTGTTGTTCAAGACGTTGTTTCCGGCAGAAGCCCATCTTGCAGATGTTACAGGAGTAGGGCTTTTCTCCCGTGTGTATGCGTTTGTGGCCATTGAGGTGAGATGACTGGGCAAAGCGTTTATTGCAGATGTGACAGGCGTACGGTTTCTCACCTGTGTGAGTTCGTTTGTGGATAATCAGGTGTGCTCTCTGTGTGAATCTCTTGTTGCACACGTTGCAGCCATGTGGACGTTCACCTGTTGATGATAACAAACAACATTATGACACATGCTGTGTTTAGTTTGTTTGTTGTAATGCTTCTATAAACCAATATATGGATGACGATATGCTGAGGCCACAATATGACACATACCCTGATAATATGGGTGTGATACAATTCCTATGCTGATAAAGGACTCTTCGTTATGTCATAAGTACATATATTCTCTTTGATTGTTTGTTTGTTGTTTAATGTCACACTCAGCAATATTTCAGCTATATGATGGAAATAATCGAGACCAGACAATCCACTGATCAACAGCATGAGCATTGATCTACACAATTGGGTGATGACCTGTGTCAACCAAGTCAGTGAGCCTGACCACACGATCATGTTAGTTGCCTCTAAAACAAGCATTGGTTACGGAAGACCAATTATATCCAGGATCTTCATGGATGTTCATAGTTCTTGTGATATGGTCTCTGCTTGATATAACTGCAATACTGAAAAAGCGACATTAAACCCAAAACAGTCACTCATGTGAGCCAATTGTTTACAGGCTGGAAGTGTGAACTGTGTCAGTAGCTTTGATAACAGCATACCTCTTGTAATGAGACAAATCACTATAAACATGTCTCAAACTGGCTGCATTATACATACGATCTTACCTGTGTGTGTGCGTTGATGTTCAAGAAGGCTGGCTGGGGAAGACAGGTGCTTGCCACAAGTGTTGCATCTCAGGCGATCATTCCCTCCATCTACCTGCTCAGCCTTCAAGTCCATGACAGAGTCTAAACATCCAAATATTTAAATGATTAACATTACAATTTGAATTGATCTAGATTCAAAGAAAAATGTCTTTGACATATTTGACATCTGATTATAATATTTGTTGCAACAAAATTAAAGAGGTCAAATTTGATGTGTATATTTGGAACATGTCACCATTAGCTGTTTTATATCAAACGACCCTTTATTATGTTAGCAAACTACTATCACTGAACAAAAGTTTGATGGAGACTAAAAACTCAACTATTTTCAAAACTGATTAGAATTTCTGATCTTTCGCCAAGCCACAATATTTGTGTGATTTTGAAACAGACCTTGACCAGACAACGATGTCGGTCCTATTTTAGTACAAAGTGTGGTCGTTATTGTCAATACAATGAGAAAAGAGTCGACATTCTGTCACAATTCAGAATCTTACGCTGGGCTGAATCCCGGAAGTTGAGTCTTGCGAACAAAGGGACGTCACTCTCATATTTTATGAATACACCAACACCCCGCTGTGATTGTCAGTTCACAGGGCTCTCTCTTTCTTCTCTTTGTCATTCGAATTTCTGTTTCACTAAAAGTTTTGTACTAAATTGTACGATTGTAATCTGGTTAAACGAACATATGAACACTGTATTTCTCATACATTCTCTTACACACAAAATTAACTTGGGGCACGGTGGCAGTGAATTTAAAAAAATACTAATTTAACAATGTCCCAAATTTCCACCCATGTGAAAATTCATAGTATTTTTTAATCGATTGTCCATTTTTGAATCAGCTAGAAACGAATTAATGCATTCACTCTAGTCTCAGGATAAAAAAACAAAACAAAAGCACCAACCAGTCCACGGAAATTGCTCTGGATCAGTGCCCCTTTAATAGTGCATTGACATTAGCACCCGAAAAGATATTTAGGAATATATACATGCATATATACTAGGCACATAAAGAAACTGTGCATACAAAAATTAAAATCTAAATTTATCAAACCTGTGTAGACACATAAGGATTTAAACTCAGAGATTAGTGACATGTATCCAACATGCATGCACGTGCCACGTTCCGTGACGTCAGTGGGTTCGTCCTTGAGACGTGCAATACGTTGTTGCACGTGCATTCCGGGAAAGAGAAACAGAGTAAATGAATGCCACACAATACTGTCACTTTGGAAAGCTCAACCCCTGCCCTTGCGATCGTTCAAAAAATTAAACGGCTATTGAAACGCATAGCATGCCAAGGCTCACGTCTGCACAAAGTCATGAGGCCATTGGGATGGTCCGTGGGGGAATGTCTCAACGACAAGTGGCTGCACATTTCCACTGCCACCGGAACACCATTTCTGCACTGGTGAGACGCTACCAGAACACAAATGACGTCATCGATCGGCCACGTTCTGGTCGTCCACGTGTAACAACGCCAAGACAGGACAGATGGATAAGGGTGACCCATCTTCGCCACAGGTTTCAGACTGCAGTGATGACTGCCCGAACCATCCCAGGACTTCGCCGTATCCATCCCAACACAGTTCGACAACGTTTACGTCATCACGGGATCAGACCACGACGTCCCGCCATACGGCCTATCCTGACACAACGTCATCGACAAGCTCGCCGAATGTGGTGCCGAAATCATGTCCGCAGACCCTTGTTTTGGTGGAGAAATGTTGTTTTTACAGATGAGTCCAGGTTTAACATTTCCCATAGTGATGGACGTCAACGTGCCTATAGACGCGTTGGAGAACGTTATGCACAGGCCTGTGTCTTGGAGAGGAATCGCTTTGGTGGTGGTTCCGTGATGATTTGGGGTGGAATAACAGCACGCCAAAGAACTCCTTTGGTGATTGTTCAGGGCAACTTAACTGGTGTGGGCTACAGGGATCAGATTCTTCGACCTGTGGCAATTCCCTTTCTGCAACGCCATGGCCCTGGGTTAACATTCCAACAGGACAATGCCCGCCCTCATACGGCAAGGGTTGCTATGGATTTCTTGCAACACCACAACGTTGACTTACTGCCTTGGCCTGCAAATTCACCGGATCTCTCCCCGATAGAGCATGTTTGGGACGAGATGGATCGACGTCTACGCCGTCTTCCTCATCCGCCAGATAACGTCCTTGACCTTGCAACAGTACTTGAGACAATCTGGCGTGACATCCCACAAGCCTTCCTTGCACGTTTGATAGGCTCTATGCGTCGTCGATGCACTGCTGTTCTCAATGCCGATGGTGGACATACCCGTTATTGAGCTTGTGACATGGTCGTTTGACCCCTGTCCCGCTTGTGGACTCGTGACGTCATTGTGATTGACTTTTAATTGAAATTCTCCCGACTTGTTATGGTCTCATGATCCCTCCATTAAAGTTTATATGTACCTTTGACATTGTTAACGTACTTATCAACTGGGATAATATTTTGACAATGCACAGTTTCTTTATGTGGCTAGTATATAAAGAAAACAAAACGGTTTGACGGAGCAATATAAAATTATACATGTATTTGTCTATTTCCTTTTCTGTCTTTCTGCCATTTGATGTTTTAATTGTACATAGGCATTCCAGTAAATTAATGCGATAAGGCATTTTGGGTTGTGATAACTTGTGTCCAATCCTTTTCCTGAGAATAAAATATGTTAACGAAACAGAGGAGGTTTTGGGACCTTTGTCATCTATTATACTGTGGAGGTGCGCTTGCGTTTGCGTTAGAGATTAGTACGTATTACCCCTGCTGTTTTACGTAACATTTTTTCATGACCCACCTGTTTAATATATGTCCGTAGTTAATATTAAAACGCGCGCGCGCGCACACACACATCCACACACATTGGTTAAATAATTTTCTGTTTCAAAATTGACAATAACCACTTTTTTTTCTAGTAAATACCACTTTGAAACTGGTAATTACCACTTTTAAAACTAGTAACTACCACTTTTAAAACTAGTAACTACCATCTTTTTTTCAGGTAATTACCACCTTTGAAAGTTTTTGTCTGGTAAATACCACTTTTGAAACAAGTAAATTAAAACTTTTAAATTTTACTTATTCTTATTCATATTCTTGTTAGGCGTTTTAAAATAATTCTATAATATCATGGTTGAACTTTCATTTTACATACTGAATGTTATGTAAATTTTGCCATTTTAAAAAATAATGCCATGTATTGATTGTTGCATTTTAGTTTGCATATAGTTTGTATAAATATATTTTTATCATTTCAGAATATCTAGATACACATGCAACATTTTCAGCTTATGGTTACAGGAATGTTTTGTCCAAATCTAGAGTTTAGTTTGTGCATTTTCATTTTGTGATTGACTGATGGTTAAACTTCGACTTACTTGTTTAATGAGTCTCACCCTCGTGTCTACTGATATCAGTTATATCAATACGAGTTGGCCTGCCGAGGATATTTTTACTTTATCAACGAGTGTTGATATAATTGTCAGTAGACACGAGGGTGAAATTCTATTTATCATCAAAAATCACTCTTCATCAGTTTTCAATGAAAAATGTGCTTCACTGAACATGATACTGCCATTAGGCTTGCAGTACAGCGATGTCATAGCATTGTGACGTCATCAAGTTCATGACGTCATAGCATTGTCAGGGCATTGTACCAAATCTACTGTCATAACGATATCTCCTAGGAGGTATCGTATGATCTCACACAAGCAATATCTTACCCGAGTGTCTTTTGATATAAAATATATCACCACGAGTTGATAAAGTTACAAATATCCGAGGCTTGTCGAGGATATTTTTTACTTTTACAACGAGTTTTGATATATTTAATATAAGTAAAAATGTACATCTCTGAACATGGTACTGCCATTGAAATGAATATGAATAAATATAAGTAAAATTTAAAAGTTCTAATTTACTTGTTTCAAAAGTGGTATTTACCAGAAAGAAGTGGTAATTACCAGTTTCAAATGTGTTAATTACCAGAAATAGTGGTAATTACTAGTTTTAAAAGTGGTATTTAATTTACCAGAAAAAAGTGGTTGTTACCAATTTTAAAACAGTAAATTAAAAAAAACCATTTTTGACCACTCTGGGTTTTCGTAGCAATGAGATCCAACTTTTATTAATAAGGAACGAGACCCCTCCCCATCGCTGAGACATCACCAAAGGGTTCAACTGCATGGATCATCTCCTGGTGATATGCCTCGTTATGACGTCTCCAGCGGCCCCCAGCAGCGTGTAAAAGACAACAACTTTCCCCAGATCAGTGAACTCTACGCCATGTCCTCAAGCTGCGGTTTTCTCGGAGCCTGCACCAGACGTTCCTCTGAGGAAAAGACGTTTGATCGGACGACGAGCCCTCAGAGTAGCAGACCGAAGACTCCTGATGGTACTGGTGTTGAGTCGGACTCTCCATTGCTGGATTTGTCATGGGATCTGGTCTTGCCATACGAATTAGGACCTGTTCATTATGGCCATTCCCCACATATTTGCTCACAAGTCGACTTACATAACCCTGTACATATTCAGGTTATCACTGATGTTGCGGCAAGACATCCTGTTATGCAAGTCAACACGTTGTCATCGTGTATTTTCTGAAAGTTCAATCCCATTTCACCTCATATTAGGGCCTACCACAGAAACCATAAACAGTCAATTTGGAATGAGTGAGTTTAGTTTCATGCCGCACTTTCATATTCCAGCTATATGGCGGCGGTCTATAAAAATCGAGTCAAGACCAGACAATCCAGTGATCAACAGCATGAGCATCGACTTACGCAATTGTGATACGATGACCATGTGTCAACCATGTCAGCGAGCCTGACCACCCGATCCCCGTTAGTCGCCTCTTACGATAAGCATGGCTTGCTGAAGACCAATTCTAACCCGCATCTTCACGGGTCTACAAAATTAAGACATGGTAACAGTGCATTAAAACTTGATTTACTAAGAAAAAAAATTCAAGCATGTGAAAATTCAATTTTTACTTTCATCCATTGTGGGACCGCCTCCGTGGTGTAGTGGTTAGAGCGTCCACCCGGAGATCGGAAGGTCGTGGGTTCGATCCCGACCGCGTCATACCAAAAACGTTAAAATATGGTACTTGTTGGTCCCTGCCTGGCGCTCGGCATTAATGGGTACAAGGACTGGTCGGCTCGGAGTCGGTATAATGTGTCTGAGTTGGGTATTCATGCTTCACTGCAGCATGGTATCTCAGTGGGCTAGCACTATAAAACCAGCTTAAGTCTGGGCTAGTACAAGCAGACGCACGTAAACATACACATGCACGTAGTCATATGAGCGAAATATTCTCAAGCACATCGTAAAACCCAATTTCACCTCACCTCATCCATTGTCTATCTATTGACAAACTGATGCATTGTCTATTTCATACTGACATGATCCTAGTTGACAAAACAGATTTCCTTTCCTTCTTCCATTTGATGTATTAATTGTAAACAGGCATTCATGTAAATATATGGGAGAAGGCTAACTGTGATAACTGGTGCTGAACCCTTTTCATGAAAATGTAATATGTTTACACCAAACAGAGGTTGGTTGTTGTTTAACACTGATATCAGCAATATTCCATCTAAAAGGCGGTGGTCCTTAAATAATCGAGTCTGGACAAGACAATCCAGTGATCAACATCATGAGCATCGATCTACGCAATTGGGATACCATGACATGTGTCCACCAAGTCAGAGAGCCTGACCACCGGATAGTTGCATCTTACCACAAGCAAGTGTTGTTGAAGACCAATTCTAACCCATATCTTCAAGGGTTCACTTCAAACTGGAACATGTACCCTCCAGAGTTTCCTCCCCTAAAAAACAGACTCTGTATGATGCTGTAAACGATTTATTTGCAGTACCATCACAACAAGTCAGCTCCTTTAATACAAAATCTAAATAAAACATAAACATACATTAAAATAAACATATAGAATCCAACTGATATGTGGTATGAAGAGCTCCTCTGATAACAAATATACCGGAATAAATACAACAACAAATGTGTTTAAAAAATCTGGGAATGTCACAACAACACCTGATTTAAATTCAAACAACTACATATTTCATAATTTACATAATATTCACACACAAGTTGAACAAAATCACACGGTAAAATCAAATTCTTTTAAGGCAAGAAAGGCAGTTTATTCTTTTCTATCAATTGATGATACCTCACTGGATATTTAGAAGATAAATAGTTTCATTTGTTCAATTCCCAGGATTCATTGGAATCCAACATAGGCAAATTTAGTTTAAAACCGACCCTGTCAGCAATGGCTTTCATCCACCAGGCAATATGTTAAATGAATTACATTTAGGTGGACAGCCCTTTCTCATTACTGGGTAATACTTCTGACTTTAAATATGTATTGTTTCATGATGCTATTTGTTACTGTAAACCACTAACATTTTAGCGTTTAAAACCTCTGTATTCAGGGCATCAAGATGCTGTTTTTTCAAAATGATTCTTTCAATCCTCTAGATGTATAAGACTAAAATATATTCAGTCAATTGATTGAGGGGGGGAAGGGAAATCGAAACCCCTGAATCCCACCTTGGCTCTGCCACTGCAAAACATAAACTTCAATGTGGTCTTTAGTCATTTTAAAAAAAAAAAAGGAAAAAAAAGGGGTGGGTGTTTTTCAGAACAACAAACACACACACACACACACACACACACGATTTAGGACAACCAGCCTCCCAATGAACATTTAATTCCAAAGACTATTTACCAAGTAGACCTGCACAAGTCTCTAAGGTAATAATTAAAAGTTTTAATATTACCTAAAAAATATAAATATTTCTCCAACAGACTGGCATCCTTAACGTCCGCTAATGTAGACATGCCTCTTTAAAGGATAGAAACATTTGTCTCACTGCAGGTAAGAAAACCTATAAACTAAGCCCTGGTTTACTATCGAGCCCCTTGCAATATAATAGTGGATTAGTTTCTGACCCGCAGTGGAGGCTAATGGATAGAATTACTATACATCCATTAGCTTAGGACGGTATTTAGTTCTGCTTTGGAGTGAGGCTATCTATCAAGCAGCTGACATATATATTTCTCAAATGCTAAATTGCCAGTATGTATATGACGCTTATCAAATTGTTACAACTAGTAGCTGTGCTACTATGTCAGTTGTATATTAATATATAGTATGACCAGAAATTATTGAGACTTTTAGGAATACGCTTAATTGGATTTCTATAATAAACACCCTTGACCAGCTATCAAGTGCTTGGTTTCATTCAAGAGAGACAACTCCGTTCATCCTTTTACATTAGTTTGTGAAGTTATCCCCCCAAGTGGAAGTTGATTTTAGAGTATTCTAACAAGGACATCAGATCAGCTAAAGTGATTTCAGGCAGAACAGGCATTCCTTTGTCCACTGTTTATCGTGTTTTGAAAAATATTGCAAATGGATATGGCACTGAGCACTAGGGAGGAGCAGGTAGGCCCAGAGATTGACTGTTGGTGACAGGAGGTGGCTTGGTATTCTTGTTTCTTAAAACAAACGAAGGAGTTTAGAAAACTTAAGGCAGGATATGATTGATAGAGGAACTGTGGCTGTCTGTAAGGAGACAATTAGAACTGAGCTGCATACAATGGGTTGGCAGAAAAGTCGAGGAATTCCATCACCGATCATGAAACCTGAACAAAAGGAGCGAAGGTTGAACTGGTGCTTACAGCATACAAATTTAACTGGGACAATGTGATTTTCTCAGATGAAAGTTATGTGTGGCTGTTTCTTAATACACTGAAATTCTGGACCAAACAAACTGAAAAACCTCAGTATCAGCGCCCAAAATACAGTCAGAAATTTAACGTGTGGGGTGGCATATCTGTGTCAGGGGCAATGCCCCTCTGTGTATTTGAAGGGAATATGAACAGTGAGCGGTACACAGATATTCTCGAGGGACATTTACTTCCATCTGCTCACGTGTTCTATGGAATCTTTTTGAATTTTCCAGCAGGACAACGACCCAAAACATCGTTCAAAGCATTCACAGGCCTGGTTTCGGACTCAAAATATGACATTATTAGATTGGCCAAGCTATAGCCCTGACCTAAATCCAATAAAAAATGTTTGCGGACTTATGAAGGAAAGTGTCAATAACAAAAATCTGACAAATATTGTTGAAATGAAAGAAGAGGTGGTCCGATATTGAGACAGCATGGACCACAACTTTCTAACTTCACATTGAAGCCTGCATTGCTGCCCATGGTGACTTGACAAAATATTAACTGTTCACCTGTCTTTGAATCTGGTGTTATGCTCTGCTAATATTCACATTTAATACGTGAGTAATGAGTGAAAACAATATAAAAATTTACTATCTTTAAATTCTCAATAATTTCAGGTTGTACTGTATAAGTGTTGCATAAATATATGTTGTATAATGAATTAATCCATGACAGATGACAATGACCTGTATAAGCCATGACCAGAGGTAAAAGACATAGGCTAGGTGTTCTGGGGCTGACCTGGCACGTAGTGTTTCTTGTAGATACACAAACCTGCATAATATTAATAATAATAATGGCATTTGTTATGTGCTGAATTTCGCACCACGGAGGGGCACACTCAAAGCTCTACAATCTGATTAATATTACCCTTGATAACCCAAGCTTTCTGTGAGGCGCTAGAAGGTTAATAGTCACATGACCTATCCCACTTATATATATAGTGACATGACTTATCTCACCTATATACATATATATATATACCCCAAGATATTGATTCCATTCTTGTCAATTCCTACCAAGAACCTTACACCAACACTAGGTGATACTGAGATCTGACAGAACTGGGGAATTAGCGCCTGTGGACTTAGTCCTGCTACCTTGTCAGTAGTGAGTGGGTGTGTGGGTGTGTGGGTGAGTAGGTGTGTGTGTGCATGAGTGAGTGAGTGGTGGGTGTATGCATGTGTGCATGAGCCAGCAATATCATGGCAGGGTTACACCAGAAATGGGCTTCACACTGTACCCGGGTGTTCGGTATAACAACTGAAAGTTTCAACCACTAAGCTACCCACTGTCCCCAAATGGTTGGAATATGCAAATAATAAATAATCAATATAACCACTCTAACAGTAGTACAAAGTATCAAAAGGTAATAATCAAAAGAAAATCTACTGTAAATTCTGTTTACAAAACTACTAAACACGCTTAACAGTTACATTGGAATATGTGAATATGACAAATGGTATGCTAATCCAGCACCAACAACTGCCGACAGAAGAAATGAGGGAGGGATTAAGAAACAATGGAGGGTTGGTTTGGGTTTTGTTTAATTATTATTAAAGCTATGTGGTGACAGTCTGAAAATAATTGAGTCTGGACCAGACAATCCAGTGAACAGCATGAGCATTGACCTATGGAATTGGGATATGATAACATGTGTCACCCAAATCAGGGAGCCTGACCACCCGATCCCGTTAGTCACCTCTAACGGCAAGCATGGATTACTGAAGACCAATTATAACCTGGATCTTCACGGGTCACAATGAAGGGACATGTAAGGTAACTGTATCTATTTTGAACAGTATGATCACAGGAAGTGTGTGGTGGAAAACTCAAAGTTAGCACTGTCATACCAAAGATCACAAATCGGTTAAATCTGGCGTTCATGGCAGTGATCAGTTCGACCAATGACCAAGGAACATGAGCAAATTACTGTTTTTTACCACAGGTGTCTTGTATGTGATAGCTGATTGTATCATTTATAACTTGAGTTTTTTTATTACAAATTAATCCTAGATGGTTTAACAAGGATTCAAAACATTGTTTCCTAGCTTTCTCACTTTCCTTTAAATCATCTATCATGGCAGCAACAAAAGGGTCGTCCAAAGGAAAATGATCTGTCCTGCACTCAACATGGATCCCTGTCAAAACAGCCACACCACTGCCAAAGCTTGTTTTCACAATGGAAGCAGGAGCTCCTTCAACTGGAGGAATATTTGGCAAGAATATCAAATCGTGGAACTAAATCACTGGTATGCAAAGGGTTATCTCCCCTTGAGGGTGATCCCAAGTCTGTCTGATGTTCAATGGCAAGACTGGGAATGGTCTGTAATGTTTGTCCTGAGACTTGGCAGCCGAGGTGATCCTTCATGATGGCCTTGACATGGTCGTATGGCTGAAAGTGTCCCCCTCCGTTGAAATAGGAATGAAATTTAACAACTTTTTGCAGATTTGTGTCCAAGAATTCAGTTGGTGCTGCAACTGCACCTTGGTAGGAGTTGTATTTGAAATTAGGAAACACAGGACCTTCACAGAGACCTAAAAGAAAGAGACAGTTATTTAGTGGGAGATGTCCGTAATGGTTTGGATTATCCATGGGTTCTATGTGATATTATGAATCAGGTAACGTGTGTATATTTGATGCTTATGCTGCTGTAAGCAACATCCCAGCTACATGACATTTGCTTCTTTGTTTGTTAGTGGTTTAACACCGCGGCACTCAGCAATACCCAGCTATATTGCAGCGGCATGTAAATGGTTAGACCAGACAAACCAGTGATCAAAAGCTAGAGCATCGATTTACGCAATTGGGATACGATAACGTGTCAATCAAATCTGAGAGCCTGACCACCCGATCCCGTTAGTCGCATCTTACGACAAGCATGGTTTGCTGAAGACCAATTCTAACCCGGATATCCACGGATCAAGCTATGTGACAGTGGCCTGTAAATAACTGAGTGTGGACCAGCTAATCCAGTGACTGATATTATGAGCAACGGTCCATGATGTCGGGGATTTGCATCAACCACGTACCAGAGCCTGACCACATGATGTATGTATACTATTCACACTTTGCTAAGGATCAAATCATGGATTCAACAGAAAACTATGATGTGGGGTCAAATTTGGTCTAAATAGATAAGCTTATTGTAAGCATGGATCCTAGGTTTCAGTATGTCATTTCATCTTGTGGATCCCATACCTGCTATTGACAGGTGTTGTGTACTTGTCAATGACTCATTCCATGATTTGCAAAATGGTTGATTGGTGCCATTTTTGTGATCCTTAGCAAAGTGTGAGTAGTATAGCTGCCCATTTCCAGCAGTATAGAATGCTAGGCAACTGTTCTAACACTGAATTGCTACTTGGGAAAACTAGGATTACATGCGGGTGTGTGAGGGAGGAGAGAGAGTTGATTTTATAAATATTTCAGGCACATCTCAGCAGTCAAACACCAGAAATCACCATCCAATAACACTCTGCACAAAAATCAGTATCATAAACAAAGGACAAAAGGTTCACATACCTGGGAAAAACTTCAGATGTCTTTCTCCACAAACTTCTAAAGGTCCACATTTGTCAAATTCTATAAAGTCACAGCCGAAGTACCCCCCTGAACACAACCCTAAGTATGCCCCTCCTTTCAGCACATAGTTTCTGATAATCTTTATCCCAGAAGCCCCTAGTGCACGGATGAGGCCAAGGTCATATCCTCCACCAATAGCAAGCAGTGCAGCATCCTTGACCCAATGACCTGTCCAAGGTAAAGGACAAATTAAAAAGGGTGTAATTTGTTCTTGTTTCTCTGTTGTTCAATGCCACATTAAACAATGTTCCAGCTATGAACAGGAACTCCAATTATTGACATCACGAGCATCAATCTCTGTTGTTGGGTCATGGTGACATGCATCCAGCCATACTGTTAGCCCTTTCTTATGATAAACATTGGAGTCTGATGGCAGATACTAACCAAGACTAACATTTATAGTTTGGCATGAAATGCATGTGGACCCTTTTTTTTAAAATATCTCTTCATCCAATGACCCAATCGATCTCAAACTGTGCAAGTGGATGTTTTGTCAGACAACCTAATCACATTGTAAATCACCGATTTTATGCATTTGTATTAAAGAATCTGTCTATGTAACTGTCAACAAAATAAACAGCAGAACGCAGAGGGCTTGCAGAGGGAGGGAGCCAATGACCTGTAACAGCGGTAGTGTTGGGTCATAAAGGTAAATGCACGTGCAGTTCATGATAGTTACCTGTGCACTGCACAGTGATAGACTGTTTGGATCATTCACATTGGCTACGTCTAGCTGTCATCATGAAAGCTTATTCAGATGATGCTAAACGTTTAATTAGAAATGTGTTGAATTTTGTTTAAAAAGAGAGCAAACGTAGCAAACCGATTTATAAGGTGTCGGATTACATGAAACGTCCAACTTTTGCTCTTGGCATGAAAAAGAACATCGTGCTAACAATTGTGAAAAATAAACCAACAACCAATAAACAAAACCTTGTACAAAAAGGTAGGCATCCAAAGTTAGATTCTTTTGACATCAGGGTCATGAGCAAGGCTGACCTACATTGACGAACGTTTACCTTTATGACCCAACACTGCCGCTGTTACAGGTCATTGGCTCCCTCCCTCTGAAAGCCCTCTGCGTTCTGCTGTTTATTTTGTTGACAGTTACACAGACAGATTCTTTAATACAAATGCATAAAATCGGTGATTTACAATGTGATTAGGTTGTCTGACAAAACATCCACTTGCACAGTTTGAGATCGATTGGGTCATTGGATGAAGAGATATTTACAAAAAAAACGGGTCCACATGCATTTCATGCCAAACTATAGTCTCTGAATACATATAATTTTGATAGATACAAACAATCCCACTTAAATTGAAAAGGAGCCCCAGTGAGATTGGAGATTCAGAACCTGGAGAAATCTAGACCTGCTTCATTTAGGGCTTTAGAATTGCAGGGAGGAGTTGGCTTTAGGGAAAATAATGTGGTTCAGGGACGGTGAGACAAACTAATTCTAACCATAAATCTTCATGAAATAAAACTCACTGTGTACATTTCATGTTTGAAATACTGTATGTATACATTTGATTGCATTGCTAGTTGAACAAAAGTTTCATTCAGGGTATCATATTTCACTATTTTCCCCACTCCCATAACGGCCTGCTGTACAGGGTTAGGGTTGTACACTTATTGATGCTTACATCAACATACTGAACATTTTATTTACAGAAATAAATAAAATTTGAAGTTTCATAAATGCTAATCAAATGTCTTTATCTTAGAAAGGAAATATTCGCATTGCATATATTTTAATTTTATTGCCTCCGTACATATTTTGAGATTTTGCAAAATACACTGCCAATTATTTTAAGGTCATATCTGAGAACATATAATAATTCTAGCTGCTGGTTATATACAAGGATAGATGACACGACTTACCTTCAATGATATCGGCTGGTTTTATATAGGCAACAGTGTAAGTCTCATCAACTGCCTCCTTCAGTGATGCAAACAGCTGCTTTCGACACTTCACCTCCGCTCCTTCCCCATGATACACATACACCTTACGCTTAGACATCCCCAGCAGTCGTCTCAGTCGAACCAGCCCCAAATACACCATCAGCGCACTAATCAAGCCACCACCTGAAAACTCACATCAAAGCCTTTATAGTGAAATTCAGTATCCACGTTGATCGGGAGGACTTGTGTGGAACCCCATCCACCTCGCTATTTGCTTTCATGGCGGCATGCACTGATATCATTCTAGTTCAATAAACATGTTTTGAAATTGATTGCTATAGCACAAGTTCACATGGTGGAGTCGTGGTGACAGATTTCTCTACTCTTCAGTGTCAGTGAATGACAGGTGTTTGCACTACCTAATGTTCGTTCTTGTCCTTGATTGAGGCAGTCGCTCGTCCGAATCGTGATTTTATAAAATTGTGGATCAAACCATTCTAAAACGACACTGGAATGTGTCGCAGGCATTATGAATAGAAGTAATGCATACAAAATCATCATTTTTGATACAACACATTCTACACGATTTACACACAATCATATTCATAATACTATTCTATCAAACACATTTATCTCACGATGATAATATTTAATATTTCAAACACTAATTAACAACTAGCAACTTATTATCGTTAAATGGTAAAAACTAAACTCACATACACGGTTTTATGTAGGAAGTTGAGTCACTCACGCCGTGAGGAGGGTTATGTTATTACTTAGTTTTCTTTTTGGTTTTCAATATAATTTTTACTCCATTGGGCCCAGTCTATTTCGTATATTTACACGGGCGATTCCAGCGTTTTATAAAACAATTCTGCGTAAAATGCTGTCTCAGGTGTGTCTCGTTTGTATCTATTCGTGTACTTCTACAATCGTGTAACACCGTTTCTTATACTCTCAAGGGAGTGAGTTTAGTTTTATGCCGCTTTAGCAATATCCCAGCAATATCCGACATATATTAGCTGGAATATTGCTGAGTGCGGCGTAAAACTAAACTCACTCACTCCCAGCAATATCACGGCGGGGGACACCAGCAATGGGCTTCACGCATTGTACCCATGTGGAGAAATCGAACCCGGGTCTTCAGCGTGACGAGCGAACGCTTTAACTATTAGGCTATCCCACCACCCCTCAAAACCTGCGCAAATATCCAATGTTCTTGTGCATGGACCAATAATGGCATGTAATTGATTTGGTTGGAATTCAAGCAGAAACACTTCAAGGTTACGAATACGGTCAGGTTTTTTTTGGATTATGTGATAGTCATATATGAATGATATTGTTTTCAAAATGACTACCTGCCTCTGCTGGCCCAGTTAACCCTCTGGTCATGGGAAACTTCGGATTGTAAACTGTACCTCCTAAATGTGTACCCAATAACATCATTGAAATGTGTCGCGCTGACAATGTTACAGCAACTCGCGAAATCGGACAAGCACTTTAACTAAACTACTTACATCTGTATATATAGGAAACACATTGAAATATATATCCACATTGAGATTAAAAACACATTTTTATGCGTTTAAGTTCGTTTAAAACAATAACTTCTCAGGGCTTGATCAACAATAAAGTAATATAACACGATAGGTGACTGGCATAGGTTAACGCATTTGAATGAGTGAATGAGTTTTAGTTTTACGCAGCACTCAGCAATATTCCAGCTATATAGCGGCGATCTGTAAATAATCGAGTCTGGAATTTGCACATTTTGTTGTAGAGGAGAGAAGCATTCCATAACTTGCAGAATTGTCCTAGGGCGTTCGTTGTGGTACTCTCAGATCAAGATGTGGACAGGAGATGGAGGACAAGTCAGGTGTGAAGTTGAAGACAGCAGCAGCCATGTTTACTATGGTTGGGGAATAATGGTAGAAATGGAACATAAGATGGAAATCACGTGACAGAACGCAGTAGTAGGAGTAATGGGGGTATGAGATCACTTTCAAGAAAGGTCGCTGTAAAGCTTTATTTCATTAATAAAGCTTTGTCAGGCCCTTAGATCTCGCCCCCATCGTATCTACTACTTTTGAATCCCCAGTTAACTTCCCGACCCCACGTGCCACTTCCTGATCACGTGATAGCTCTATGCCGTGTTGACCTCGATGAAAAAGTTTAATGTGAATCGCCTATGGTCTCTTTGGTGTTCGTAATAAAGGCTTGCTGGGCTTTTTGTATCCCCTGTTCTATGTACTTTTTTTCTCGTCTTCGCTGATAGCAGACTTACGAGACTTGGACCGGATTTCTTGTTTCATCTTACGGTACTTGTCGAGTTCAGAGAGGATTGAACGAAATTCCTCCTCTGAGATCTTACTGTCAGTGAGTGCTGCCGAAATACGCTCACTTACCGTGTTCAGCTTTGCTTCGGCCAGAACCCTGATCTCGTCGTGTTTCAATGCCTTACGATGCAGTCTGCGTGATGCAAACTTAAACACCAACCCTGCCACCCCTACAACCCCAGCTGTTATTTCAATACCTAGCACTATGGTGGCTAACAACCCAACACCTGCCGCCCCTAGTCCCATGCTGGTTGCCATAAGGGCAGTATCAGTCCCGCCCACGATATTGAAAGCTCTATGGTACTTCTTATATAGTATAGTGCCTCCCGCGTGTCGCGGTCTTGTTCTAGTTGGCGTTTTACATCACATAACTGTCTCAAGCGGAACCCGTCTATGGTTTCCAGGGTCTTCGCTACTTCCTCTACGACTGGGTACAGACCCATTCTGTGTGCATATAATATATCTTATGGGATATTTTTTAATTGGGCTTCAGTTAATAGTCGATCAATGTACTTGAAGCTTATAAGGTCTAGATCTCTGTGCAGGGAAATAGGCGAGAGGCTAATAGGTGACACTATGAACACACTAACCCCCTTGGAGGATAAATAGGATATAGGATCCTTTCGGGAGTCCAGTTGTATGACGAAACGGTGGCGTTGTGTTTCGGGACTGGAAAAAGTGGCCAGGGGGTCTATGACCAGGTGATCCCAGTATATTGTCACCGCAGGTAAAAATTGTAGTTCTGTTGTTCCAGGTAGGAGTTCCTGGTGTATGGTGAGATAGAATTCTATGATGAGTGTGAAGTCTCGTCTTGCAACCATAAGCCCCGTTTCGGAAGCGGGGCCGTCAAACCTTAACTCCCCCTTCACGGGTGAATCTAACATGTTGCCCGTGTAATCCGGTGTTAGCTTAGGAAGTATACCAGGCCCCGGAATGAAAGCCCCAGGCAAGATACCGTTGTTCCTAATTTGGGAGATATGTCCCTCTTGGTTTAACGAGATATAAGGTGCGGTGAGGGTCATGTTGATCAACCATTTGGGCTCTCTAAGGGCGTCTGCCAGAGGCTGCTGCACGTACAGGCCGTTTCTTAAGCGTAGGACGTACGAGGTGTATTCCTCGCCAGGCTGATCAAACCCCTCTATGCCTCCTAGGCCCCCGAGTGTGATTTTGGGTAGATGATCGGCCATTGCCACCCGCCTATACACGTTGTCTTTCAAGTGTAGGACGTATGAGCCACCTTCCTCACCGGGCTGATCGAATCCCTCTGTGTCCCCTAGATCGTTAAGTGTGGCGTTGGGGCGATGATTGGACATTGATATATTACTATTACGAGATAGTTTCCAATTATTTTTCTGATAATTTCTCAGGGGTGAACTTTGACCCCATGAAGTGTATGTTGTCGGGTAGGAAGATCTTGGTGAGTGATATCGTGTCTTCCACGATCACGATGACCCCCTGCAGACTGGTGTGGGAGTCGACTCCCACCCGCACGTAAACAGTGCAAACCTGATACTGGTGCCGTTTCACCCACCCGAGTTTAACCCCCTTCACGATTTCGAATTCATCCGTCGATGGTTCCCCTAAGTAGACTTTGATGACCAGCGTGGAGTTCACCGGTAGGCTCGCCAGGACGTTGACCACGCCAGCGAATTCAGACACCAACTGCAATGCCCCGTCTTGCACTCCCGGTTTACTCGATAGCATGTGGGCTGCCATACTGGCGACTGGGCTGATGACTACTCTGAGCCGGGACGTAAGCCAAGAGCAGGGTTCCGTTGTTAACGACTTTGTTTAGGTAGTTGTCTTTGTTCTCCGTGAATGAGGAAGACAAGCTCAGGAGACTGATAGCCAGCCCGGCATTCAACCGGAGCAAGATATTCACCGACGACCTAGTTGCCCTACACATGAAGAAAAGCCACATAAAACTCAACCGGCCTGTTTACGTGGGGATGAGCATCCTCGATTTATCCAAACACCTGATGTACGACTTTTACTACAACGACCTGAAGAAACAGTACGGCGACAGGTGTGAAGTGCTGTACACTGACACAGATTCCCTGCTGATGGAGATTCAAACCGAGGACATGTATGAGGACATGAAAAAACGCCTCGATTTGTACGACACCAGCGACTACTCCAAGGACCATGCCATACACAGCATGGTAAATAAAATGGTCCTGGGTTAGATGAAGGACGAGTGTGCTGGCACGCCCATAGCCGAGTACATAGGCTTGAGACCTAAGATGTACTCATGATGTCATGAAGGCCGACAATGGTGAGATCCGGAAGGCGAAGGGTGTTAAGAAGTATGTGGTGAAGCAACACATCAAACACGCCAGATTCAAGGAAGCCCTGTTCAAGACCCGTACCTTTAGACATAAAATGAACACACTTAGAAGTGATGGGCATAGGATATACGGGCTGACTATAAACAAGACGTCCCTGTCGCCGATGGACACTAAGTGTTGGATAGCTATTGATGGGATAAACACGCACGCCAGCGATACGGACATGAGAAAATTGAACCAAGACCATAGGTGTATATATCGGGATGTCACGGAATCAGAGAAAGTTTGAGGCTATTTACTACAGCCTGCGTGGGTACTGGAAAGGAGCTAGCGCCGTACATAAGCTGGCTAAAATGGCGCGAGTACCCCAAAGCGATTGACCAAAGCGTGGCGAAAAACAAGCCCTGTGGCAGATCTATTTACCGGCACCACGCTACGTGCCTAGAAGGAAGTTTGGTATTAACATGCCCAATAGCGTTAACCAGGTAGCCCACGGATTCGAACGTACATACAAGCGCAGTCCACTGACGTGGCCCACAGAGCTGCAAGTTGACCCCGGGCGGGAGTTCATGGGTGTCGTGTCATACCTGCTAGACAAACACGATACCAAGGTCAGGTGTTGGCTGCCGGAGCTCATCATAGCCAAGCCATAGTTGAGAGATTCAATTGGACTTTGGCAAGCTGATTAGGGCATCAGTATGCAGAGAATAGCCAACCGGAAGCGATCGACTGAATGGATAAGCAGCGGTTACCTCCAGATGGTGTCGGCCATCAACATGAAACCACTTTCGGGACACTGGCAAGAAACCAGCCGGCAGCTATCAGAACTAAAATCAATAGTGGCTGGAGTCGGCTGCACCATTCGCGTGGAAGGAGAAACAGATACCAGATAGGGCCCTCGTGAGGTACCTCTACCAGCCCGGGGAACACGAGGGTGATAATTAAATGGCGAGCCACTGATCCGATATGGTCAGTCAAAACTTACAACATAGACGAGTGGCCAATGTTCCCTATGTGGAGACCCGCTCTGTCACTTTCACACATTCAGAAGTCGGACGGCGATTCTTCGTCGACGTGAGTCGTTGGTGAGGCGACGGCCTTGGCCGACGCCCCGACTAGCCGCACAGTCCGTCCGCTTCGGTGGATGATCTGGGCCCGTTTCTTCGCCGCGTCTCTGACTGGTCTCCCTGCTTGGTCTCCCTGACTGACCATGTGAGTCCGTTTTATGCATAGGGACATTACGCCACGTTGTGCAAAGTCATTGACCTGTGCACATGTACATACGTAAGATCCGCCGACGTGGGGAGATGTTAACTGACATTTACTGATGGCATTGAGAATTAAGGGATCCTGCCCTGAGGGGGTGGGGGGGTGGGGGGGGTTGTTTTATAAAAGGGCTACACCGAATGATTGCGGAATACAGACAAAGTGGATAGAATTTCGGTGCACTTTGGATATATATGGAAACAATTATGTTGTTTGAATATATGAAGTTTTACAGAAACTTATTGAAATGGTTTACTCTATGACAGAATCATAAATAAATGACTTTTGGAGAACCGAGGTGCGAAATTTAGGAACAGCCAAATTTGATTTGTTACGCAAGTTGTATCCGGAAATGGTTTCAGTAAAAGGTGGAAATAAATCTATCAGGTAATCAGGAGCTTGCATATCTACAATTTTGTAGAATGTACAGTTTCCTTTGTGTTCGTCTAACTTTCAATGGTAACCAACCAGTTTCACTGTATAAACTATATCTTGAAGCGAATTTAGGCAATCCGGTTACAATTCTTGCTGCTTCAAGTTGTAACATTTCAAGTTTATCACAAATATAGCTAGGGTAATTATCCCAGAACTCAGATGCATATTCTAATATAGGCCTAATATACATTTCGTACATACTAGAAAGGATATATCTAGGTAATACGTACTTTAGCGTCTGTAATGAGGAAACACTTTTTTGAAGCCTTTTCTATTACAGCAGATGCACGATGAGACCATTTTGTATTATCTGAAAAGATGACACCGAGGTGTTTATGTTGATGTACACGTTTCAAATGTTCATTATTGAAAATCAAGTCAGGAACTTGTGGACAGTTTCCATTTTAAAAAAAATTTGAATTTGGTCTTGTTCGGGTTAAACTTAACTAACCATTTGCCAGCCCATTCTTTCAATTTTGCTAAATCATAGTTAAGAGTAGCTTCTATGGTTTTTACATCTTTTCCTGCAACACCAAATGAAGCGTCGTCGACAAACAGTCTTGTGACATTTGTTGAGTTTCAGGTAAATCATTGATGTACACAAGGAACAAAAATGGACCAAGGACAGATCCTCGAGGAACCCCTGCAAAACATTTAATTCTTTTGATAATGTACCTTTGATGGAAACACTCTGTCGTCTATCTGATAAATAGTTTGTTAACCAACTAAGTAAATGGCCACGAATACCATAATTTTCTAATTTGTGCAATGGCCCTTTATGCCACACCCTGTCAAAGGCCTTTGAAATGTCACAAAAAATCATACAATAAATGTGATGAGTATCTAGAGCTGAACATATATTGTGATAGATTTCAATGAGTTGAGATGTGGTAGAGTGGTTAGTAGTAAAACCTGATTGAAATTTACTTAAAATGCTATGTTTATTGAAATTGTTATGTAAATGCTTTAACATTATTTTTTCATTTTTTTCCCCCGAGGATAGATAATAAACTTATGGGTCTGTAATTAGTAGGGAGGGATTTATCAATTGCGTTGATGGGTCGTCATATAACTCTACAAGGTGTAGGAAAACCTTAGTAGCCATATTTTTCCGAATTTTGACCGAAATCGTTCGTCAATGGAAATTTGTATACACTGTCTTCCTTACGTAACTGCAGCTAGCAAACAAGTCCAAGAAAGGTTATGACGATACATAAATATTTCTTGAGGACTCTTTTGAACGAACCCCTGTTTAAATGGACACTAAGTAGAATCGCCAGCAGCATAGAAGGCCTTCAAAATGGGACACTGCAATACAGAGCAATTCCTAAGTTACATGTTGCACTTACAACCAACGCGCACGCCGCAAACAAGACACCCGTCATAATATCTTACTTCCCAAGTACCGGTACAACTGTATTGTAAAGGCTGGGTATTTTGTCCCAGTCCCTTGCACAAGTAACCAAATATCATACCCTTCACCAATAATATAATAGGGTTTGGGGGCCCAAGGCACTAGTGCCGTGAGTTCCAGAGCAATTGTTTTCAGCCAATCCTCTGGGGCTATGTTGTCACATGACAAGGGCAAGAGGAAGCGTTGGATCTCCAAACCTGAAATCTTCCTCGTTCTGCCGCCACAGTCGAGGCCACAACAACCAATATCAATCTGTGGATTTCATTTTAAGAGGTGAGAGCCCCTTTTGGTGTGCAGATTTCAACACGGTCTTCTGTATGGAAGTGAAGTAGATTCCAATGCATAGTTATTTTATTAACATGATCAGCAATTCTGTGCTGCTTTTAATTTAATATATTGGTTAATTCAAAATTCAAAACAATTGTTTGGTCCCTCTCATCAAATATTCTTGCTGTGCCAAACTTGCGAAATGTCACTCATCTATGACATCGGTCCAAGAGTGCTGAAGGGGTCGTTGTCGGCACGGGTACAGATGTGTACCCAAGCTAGAATCACGTACCCAAGGACGAGTCAATTCAGCACTGTGCTGTTTCTTGATCGGAAATGCCATACTATTTTATTAGATGCATTTGCGTTATATTAGAAACTTGTATGTATACTCAGTAGCGGATGTTTTGCGATGCACAATATACCACTCGCAATCTGTTGAACAGGAACGACTACATACGGTTTCGGTGTGGGGTTGCTGAATATGGACTCGTCCCTTGTTTAGGGTACCAGGTTTCTGTATCTGTATACAAAAAACGTACCTGGGCAGATACATAATGAGGTTCCGTGCCGACAACGACCCCTTCAGCCTCAATGGCATGAATAAATGGTAATTACTCATTGCAATATATCCTGTTGGACATTGACTTCAGTAAAATACCTTGTGTGTTAAGACTTAACTTCCTAATTCGACCTGCCAGTCAAACATGTCTCTAGCTCATTGCTAAATTAAAAATTACACTTATTTTTTTTCAAACTTGCTATTGTGACCAACAGTGAACTCTGACCGAGTTTCCAATCCATGTGCTCAGTCATCTGGAAGCAATATGGAAGCACTGACCACTACTGACCTCGGCATAGACTAACGCTTAGTCTCTGAATATATATAATTTTGATAGTAACAAACAAGCCTATTTATATTGAAAAGGAGCCCTAGGGAGACCAGAGATTCTGAACCTGAGGAAAACTAGACTTGCTTTATTTAGGGCTTTAGCACTGCAGAGAGGGCTTTGCAGTAGGGAAATTAATGTGGTTCAGGGACTGTGAGACAGACTAACCTCGGCACTGAGCGGCACATAACCTATGGCTGTCTTCGGCATTCTTTGGATCCCTTCCGGTTGCATTACAAATTGGGAGCACCGGATGTAAACAAAACTAGGTGTCATCGTTTGCTTTATGTTCAGTTTATGTTAACATAGCAAAGCCTACTGAAAACTAATGTCACTGTATCCAAAATATAAGTATAGTGCTAGTAACTGGTGTATAAACTGCATTTTTACAGCATATGTTTTCATCATTGGAATATTATTGCAATGTATGAACGTTTTTATTATTCTCAAAAATGAAATTTTAACTTTCTTTCGGTATTTTTTATCTTTTCCATTTGAATTGGGATCATTTTTGTATCATCTGATAGAAGGCACGTGACGATTCTTTTGGGCGATTATGTTAAAATGGTTTGAGATTGTGTGGTTACGTATACACCTATGCTTTTCGCACCAGTAATGTTCATATATTCCTTTAAACATCATTTAGGGGCGGTGGGGTAGCCCAGTGGTTAATGCGTTCGCTCGTCACGCCGAAGACCCGGGTTCGATTCCCCACATGGGTACACTGTGTGAAGCCCATTTCTGGTTTCCCCCGCCGTGATATTGCTGGAATATTGCTAAAAGCGGCGTAAAACCATACTCACGCCTTTGGGTCGTGTGATTACGTATACACTTATGCTTTTAGCACCAGCAATGTTTACATATTCTTTTATTAATACTTCTTCAATAAGTAGCCTATTATCGTCACATCCTGAGTATCATTCGGATTAATGTTTGGTGTCAATTGTACTTTTACAAAGTCAAAGACTCTTACTGCCTGCACTGTTGAGGTGACAACATCCCACATCAATCTTTCGATTGCATTTAGGTTTCATTTAGACTGAGCGTTTGTGACTTACAAACCTGTATAAATTTCATTACAATATATTATTATTTCTGTCTTTTTGTATTGTGTCATCTTTGATCAGAGTAGTTTGGGCAACGGACACTCTTGACTATCCCTTCTCCGTGAGAGTGAGTGAGTCAGTATAGTTTTACGCCGCTTTTAGCAACATCCCAGCAATATCACGACGGGGGACACCAGAAATGGGCTTCACACATTGTACCCATGTGGGGAATTGTATACGGGTCTTTGGCGTGACGAGCGAACGCTTTAACAACTAGGCTACCCCTACCGGCGACCCTTTCCCGTGAGACGCCGTTATTGCATAACTGTAGAAATTCACCATGTATTATATTACGTTATAATTATCACATCTGCTACACAGAATAGTATTGTAAACACGACCTTGTAAAAAAGTAATGACTAAATATGAGGCTCCATTTCCGCACAAAGAGTCAGCCTTTACAATTTCCCATGCCGTGTGTTTACCATGTGGACGTCCAATTTCAGGTCACAGGTGTCTATCATTCATAGAAACATAACAATATGAGTTTCATTACGGTGTGAAATAACACGGCCCGAACCCGCAATGAAGTCAAGACCATTCGCTATTGTTTTATAACAAACAAAACAACCAGCTATATTACAGAATGGGTTCGGGAACGTGTGCTCTGAATAATACACTCGCTGAGATGCCGCATGAATATTCAGATCTCCGCGAAAAATCTGTTACAATGATGGCACATTTGGACGAAAACGGGTTTACCTACCGGCATTTCACTTGCAGTTTCAACTATTTCGTGAATATTGTCACGGGTTAGCATATTACGGATGGACGGAGCAAAGAGCAACGATTCTGTCCTTCTGGAGTGCTGGAGGCTCTGAACGGATGGCCCACGCAAACGAGAATAGGAATTTTGAGCAACTATCAAAAAGCTATGTAGATTTTGTTTTGATACCTCCACTCTCATTTATTTGACGCACTAATCAAATTTATTTTTCTGTTTGCCTTATGCATTTTCAGAAATATTTTTCTCTGAGTGAACGATCTTTTACTATTCAAAATGACAACAGGGGACTCTGACATTGGCTTGGCGAATGGAGTGATAACAACAGCTCCAGATGAACCATCACCACCATGTGACAAAGAACCCATACAGTCCTTCACTCCTGAAGATGAGATAGAATCTGAGACATGTCTGCTCCAGGATCAGGATGGCAGTGGGAGAAGGTCATCCACCTGGATGAAGCCCTGTCACAAATTAAGTTTGGACTCTTTCACATAAAGATGCTGATACTTGCAGGAGGTGGATATTTCGCTGTTTGTTCGGAAATTCTGGTGTTTGTTTTCCTCAGCGAACCTGTGAAGAAGGAGTGGAATCTTAGTCACTATGACTTTGCCTGGCTTCCTTTCTTCAGTGGAGTGTGTGGTATTGTTGGTGGGTATGTGTTCGGGGTGCTGAGTGACAGGATTGGACGTCAGATTCCCTTCATCGCTTCCATATCAGTGTGTTGTGTCTTTGGGGTGGCCTCAGCGTTTGCTCCATCCTATATCCTGCTGGTGGTACTGAGATCTCTCGTCTCTGTCGGAACTGGGGGACTGGAGTCTGTGGACTTTGTCCTGCTGCTAGGTCAGTATAGAGTGAGTGAGTGTGTGCATGAGTGAGTGAGGGGATCATTGCTCTGAACATTATATCAGTTGTGAGGGCTTGTCATATCAGGTTAATGAGGGAAACTGCAGATTGATGCTGGTCTCAGCAATTTATCACATTCTCAGAACCAGCACTGGAATCTATCTGAGAAACCCAAGTGTCATAACCATGATAAATCTTGGATTTAAACACCAATCATAACATCTTGGCCTGGCAAGGGATGCAACTATGTACAGTAGAAGTAATGTGGACTGAGAACAATAGATTTACCATGCTATATAATCCAATGATAAATCAATATGACTATCATGATCAGTTATTACTTATTCTCATCCTGAGTATATCAGAGAAAAAGCTGATCACTGCAACCAGCACTTAAAGCAGTGCTCCGTGTGAATACAAATGTTGATGGTCTTGTCATCTGCTTTCATTTTTATTTCAGAATTTCTTCCAAAACGAAACCGAGGGTCCTATATGGTGTTCATTACATTCTGTGGTGCCCTCGGAGCTGTGGCAGCTGGGGGTATTGCCTGGCTTATCTTGCCTCGCTTTGGATGGAGGTGGTTTGTTGGTGCATGTGCAGTTCCATCCATAATCGTGTTTATTCTGAGATTCATCGTGCGATCTGAATCACCACGTTATCTCATGATCAGTGGCCAGAAGGAAAAGGCAATGAAGGTTCTTCAAAATATAGCAGCACAAAATAAAACAGAACTACCTGAAGGTAATACCTGTGGCATATATTCTTATATAAATTTAATTAATTTCAGGGGTAGCCTTGTGGTTAAAGTGTTCGCTTGTCACTCTGAACATGCGGGTTCTGTTCCCCATATCGGTACAATGTATGAAGACCATTTGTGGTGTTCCCGCCATCATATTGCTGGAATATTGCTAAAAGTGGCGTTAAATCCGACTCAATCACTCGCTCCCTCTAGTCCGTGCAATGCTCACAGCTTACAGTACAGAAATTAATTCCTTGGGGAGTCTAAAGAAGAAAAAAGAATCATTTTATTTATTTGAAATACATTAATCATTAAAACAAAATCCAGTTTTGTTCGGAGATGGGACCTTTTTGTTATTTGTTGTTTAAGAGCTAAATAGGTAATGTGTGAAGTAGTGTTGGGAATTGGTTGATATCTAATAATTGATTATTGGTCCATCACAACCGATCAATCATCGAAAATAATTGGTTAGCGTCATTTATTAAATGTCCTTGTTGTTTTTGTTAATGCACACAAAAAAACAACAAAAAAACGTAGTAATTAGGGTTTTTTTCAAATTGCTTAAAGTCCATTTGCAAATTTTGCATATTTAAATGATGATTAGTATGTTAGGAACACATATTTCCTGGATTCTTTAAGATAAATTCAATCATGACTTGGAACGAGCTTGTAGTGCCTATGAAATGTAATTTTTTTATTTATTTTTATTTTTTAAGTATTTTTATTTCCCAAAGTACATTTGTTGTTGTCATAGTACATTGTACAAGACATCATACACAACATCCTCATCATCAATTTGATGTTGTTGTAGTACATTGTACAAAACATCGTTCACAACAACATCCTCCTCATCAATTTGTTGTCATAATACATTGTACAAAAACATCATACACAAGATCCTCGTCATCAATTTGTTGTCATAATACATTGTACAAGACATCATACATAAACATCCTCATCATCAAATTGTTGTTGTATAACATTGTACAAAACAATGTTCACAACAACATCCTCCTCATCAATTTGTTGTCATAATACATTGTACAAGACATCATACACAACATCCTCATCATCAATTTGATGTTGTTGTAGTACATTGTACAAAACAATGTTCACAACAACATCCTCCTCATCAATTTGTTGTCATAATACATTGTACAAGACATCATACACAACATCCTCATCATCAATTTGATGTTGTTGTAGTACATTGTACAAAACATCGTTCACAACATCCTCCTCATCAATTTGTTGTCATAATACATTGTACAAAAACATCATACACAAGATCCTCGTCATCAATTTGTTGTCATAATACATTGTACAAGACATCATACATAAACATCCTCATCATCAAATTGTTGTTGTATAACATTGTACAAAACAATGTTCACAACATCCTCCTCATCAATTTGTTGTCATAATACATTGTACAAAACATCGTACACAACATCCTCCGTCATCAATTTGTTGTCATAATACATTGTACAAGACATCATACAAAACATCCTCATCATCAAATTGTTGTTGTCATAATACATTGTACAAAACATCATACACAACATCCTCATCATCAATTTTTTTTGTCATAATACATTGTACAAAACATCGTTACACAACATCCTCCCTCATCAATTTGTTGTCATAATACATTGTACAAAAACATCATACACAAGATCCTCGTCATCAATTTGTTGTCATAATACATTGTACAAGACATCATACATAAACATCCTCATCATCAAATTGTTGTTGTATAACATTGTACAAAACAATGTTCACAACATCCTCCTCATCAATTTGTTGTCATAATACATTGTACAAAACATCATACACAACATCCTCGCCATCAATTTGTTGTCATAATACATTGTACAAGACATCATACATAAACATCCTCATCATCAAATTGTTGTTGTATAACATTGTACAAAACAATGTTCACAACATCCTCGTCATCAATTTTTTGTCATAATACATTGTACAAAACATCGTACACAACATCCTCCGCCATCAATTTGTTGTCATAATACATTGTACAAGACATCATACACAACATCATCATCAAATTGTTGTTGTCGTAGTACATTGTACAAAACGTCATACAAAACATCCTCGTTATCAATTTGTTGTCATAATACATTGCACAGAACATCATACAAAAACATCCTCATCATCAACATTGTGCAAGCATCATCATAACCATCAATACAAACAATCATCATCATATGTTCAGGGTGGATTTACTATTTAATATCTGTTATCCTTGCCCAAGGCTAATATGTATACAAGTACTTGTATTCAGATGCACTTGTCAAATTGTGTTATACTTGTATAACATCTAGGTTGGTATAATTAGCAAAAAGTGTATGGAAGGAGGACCAGAAAGCGTAACATTTTGCTGGGTTTGCATTAGAAAATGCCGTATATTTGGTAGCTTTATAGTAGTTGCGTATTTCCCTTTGAAGCACTTTAAAATCTGGGTTTATATTATTTCGGTTTGTTTTATATAGCATATATTTCACTATTAGAAACACCAGATTAAGTGGGTTGTTGCTTTTACTTTTGAAACCAAAGATAATATTTTCGTGCGACAAATTAATATTTCCTTCAGACAATATATCAAGCCAATCGGATACCTCCTTCCATACTTTCACGGTATATCGGCATTCACACAATAAATGAATAATTGTTTCAGGAGCAGATTCACAGAATGAGCACATTGAAGAGTCTGTGTAATTCATCAAGTGTAACTTATGTTTAGTTGTTAAAATATTGTGAGTAATCTTGAAATGAAACCATCTCAACTGTACACTTTCTGTACATCTATTTGCCATTAAATGTAGGGTGATATTGGGTCTCCCTGTCGGCAGCCCCTAGTTATCTTAAAGAACTCACTCGCGAACCCACTTATTAATACACTTGATTCACTATCGTTTAGCAGTACTCGTATCCAATTTTGAATGCATGGTCCAAAGTTGAAAAAGTCCATAACACTTTGCATAAATTTTCTGTCAACCGAGTCAAAAGCTTTTTCAAAATCAATAAGCAGTAATAATCCTGGAATTTGATATGATTCACTATAGTCCATTACATCGTATATCTGCCTTGTAACTTCTTGAATAAAACCTTTTTGATCCTCACTGATAATAAGTGGTAATATTATCTTTATTCTGTTTGCTATAACTGCAGAAGCTAATTTGTAGGAGGTGTTTAGTATTGATATTGGTCTCCAGTTTTTTAGCATTTTTTTACTTTTACCACTCTTAGGGATACATGTAATAAGACCTTGTTTTTGTGATACGGACATAGAACCATTTTCATATGCATACTTCAAGGAGTTAATAAGAAATTTATTTAAGTCATTCCCAAAAAACTTGAGGAATTCACTGGAGAAGCCATCTGGGCCTGGACATTTATCATTTTTCATTTTCTTTAAAGCGACAAGTGTTTCTTTGTATTTTATTTCTCCCTCTAAAGATGAGGCAGCTTCTTCTGACAGTTTAGGTATTTCATCTTCTATGAACAATTCTCCTAATTTAATTTGTGTGCAGTCTTCACTTACATAAATTTTCTTGTAGAATGTTCTCGTCTCTTCTAGTATTTCCTTATAATCTTTTATCACTGAACCTCCTTTTTTTTCCAATTCCATTATTGATTTATTTAAAAACAATTCTGCTTTCTAATTGTAAGAAGTACTTTGATTGTTTTTCCCCTTGTTCGATCCACTTTGCCTTAGATCTTATGTATAAGCCTTTTATCTTTTGTTTGCTAATTTCTTCTAAGTCTTGTTTAACTTCATATCATTTTTTTATTATTTCTGTCTTTTTTTTCAGCTGGTTCTGTTTCCAGGTTGTTGTCCAATTCTCTTAATTTATTTTCCAAAGCCTTTTCTCTGTTCAAAGTCATTTTCTTTTTTGTAGATGAATAGTATATGGTCATACCTCTTATTTGTAACAGTAGAATATCCCATAATAGTTGATCATTTATGGTATATCTTGTTTCTTCGGCTTTTGCTTCCTTTTTAACTGACCGCCTCCGTGGTGTAGTGGTTAGAGTGTCCGCCCGGAGTGCGGAAGGTCGCGGGTTCGATCCCCGACCGCGTCATACCAAAAGACGTTAAAATATGGTACTTGTTGGTCCCTGCCTGGCGCTCGGCATTAATGGGTACAATAAGGACTGGTCGACTCGGAGTCAGTATAATGTGTCTGAGTGGGGTGTTCATGCTTCACTGCGGCATGGTATCTCAGTGGGCTAGCACTATAAAACCAGCTTCAGTCTGGGCTAGTACAAGCAGCCGCACATACACATACACACGCATGCACGTCGTCAGATGAGCGAAATATTCTCAAGCACGACGTAAAACCCAATTCCACCACCACCACCATCTTTTTAACTTCATATTGTTGTAGGGTATTCTTTATTGTAGTTTTTACTATTTCAACATATTTTTCGTCGTGAAGTAGTGAGTTATTGAACTTAGAAAATCCTTTCCCTCTTATCGTATCTCCTAAAGATATTGATAGTGAGATTATTGAGTGGTCTGAATTAATGCTTGGGGATATATCGGTTTGTGTAACTGCCTGTAGGAGATTATGTGATACAAGGAAGAAATCTAACCTAGATTGTTTAAGTGGGGTTGGTTGTCTCCAAGTGAAGCGTGTTTTATACGGGTTTGATTCTCTCCAAGGGTCTTTCAAGTCTAATAGAGTTATAACATTTAATAGTTCTTGTCTGGCTTTTGGGTTACTTGTGTGTTTGTAGTTATAGGTGTCTAAGTTACTGTCTAATATCATGTTCCAGTCTCCACATATTATAGATTTATCATTTTCTTGTTGTTTAAGCATATTTTTAATATTTGTAATGAACTCGGGGCAATCTTTATTAGGTCCATATACATTAATAATTGTGTAGTCACTATCATGTATTTTTACTCTCAGTAGGATATAATTTCCATTATCCATATCAATTTGTTGATCTGTAACCTTAAATTCAAAATTGTTATTAAAAAGAAAAGCTGTTCCCCTTGCATTGCTTCGAAAGTGGCTGAAATAACATTCGCTATAGCCCCATTGCTGTTTGATTAACTGTTCTTGCTCAGTAGTGAAATGAACGTCTTGAAGACAGAATTTGTTTGCCTATTTTAGCCTTAAGAACCTGAATACCTGTTTTCTTTTAAAATCATTATTGAGACCTCTGCAGCTGAGAGATAGAATTTTTAGATTTTCCTTATTTACATTACATTTGGGAATTTTTTTAGTACAACAAAAGTGAACAAAAAATACAACAGTAAACAATATATATATGTGTACACTTGCGACTTCCGTCCTGTAATGCTGATAGAGCATAGTATAAGTCCTACAGCCTTTTCCGTCTGTTCACTTATAGTTTTTTTTCGTTTTTTTTATGAATCCACTTCAGTTTGGGCTCTGGTTATGTGATATTATTGGTATTAACGGTAGCATAGCTTTATAGAACTATTTTTCTTGAATTTAGTGTATAAAGATGTGGTACGAATTCTGTCCTGAAAGATAGCACCTGCTTCAGTTCCGCAATATCGTAAATGTAAATTTAATGACACAGACAAAACCAGCCTTGTGAAAAATATTGTTAATGCAAACAAGTGTTCCAAGGTTGGTCGTGTTCGATTACGAGAAAACATGTTCGATTGCTTGGTCGCTTAGTCACTGCGACCAATCTTCGATTATTTCAATTAATCGGACCACCACTAGTGTGAAGTAATATCTCACGGTTCATATATCAGGCTATCCATGCAGATCGAGGATAGAATTGGTCTTTAGCAACCCATGCTTGTCATGAGAAGCAACTGATGGGGTCTAGTGTTCAGGCTCGCTGACATGATTGACTCAGCTCATCATATCCCAGTTGTGTATTTCGATGCTCATGATGTCAATCACTGAATTGTCTAGTCCAGATTCAATTATTTACAGTACGCTGTCATATAGCTTGAAAATTGTTGAGTGCAGCATTAAACAAACAAAACATGTTTCCCAATATGTTGATATTAATATGTATCTGTTTCAGGTGAAATAATCTGCCCAGTTTCTACATCACGTGGAAGAATACAGGACCTGTTATCTCCAGAGCTCCGCAGAAGAACACTATTCATGAGCCTCATCTGGTTTTTCCAATCCACCGGTTACTGGGGAGTGACCATCTACCTTCCAGAATACATGCACTCACTGGGAGTGAATTCCTATATGAATATGTTTACCATTTTCATTGGCGAACTACCAGGAATTGCTCTTGCGATGATCGTCATAGAACGACACATGCTTGGAAGGATCAACAGTCTGAAATTCTTCTCATTCTTTACTGGGGCATCACTTCTTCTGTTTTCTTTCATTCCCATACAAAGTATCAAAGCAGCGCTTGTCATTGTGTGTTATTTCTTCATGGTGCCGATATACTCCATACTGAATGCATTTACCCCAGAAATATACCCAACAGATGTAAGGAGCACCGCCATGGCTTGGGCGAACATCATCATTGAAATTCCTGGCTTGATTACTCCATTTGTAGGTGCAGTGTTGTTGTCGTCTGATATGGTATGGCTCTATCCAGTAACGTGGACTGCCTGCTTCTTGCTTCAGTTCATCTTCAGCTTCTTTGTGGGCGTCGAGACTGCAGGGGAGGAGTTGAACGACAAGAGGGACTGTGGGAAGGAGAGAGGCAGTGTTAATGTGTCCAGTACAGTGTAGATGGAGTTTGTGGGTATTTATTTGTATGTGTGATCTTTTGCTGTGAGAATACATGTTTCAATAATCTGATGATGGCATTTGATGTGAATATGGACCTGAAGTCATTTGATGAGTGTATATGACAATCTCGACAAATATACCATTAAAAAAAAGTAGGGGATATTCCATTTTGCGAGCATACCACTAGCCAATGCCAATGTATATGAGAAAAAGTAATATATATCCATACAGATGAAACATTTCCAAAGGAATGGAATAAATTGTCACATATTCACTTAATTTCATCTGTTTTCTCCTTGGCTTCATCATTTGCGTTTTATCAGTCTTGTAAATCCAATATCGCCTACTTTTTTTTAATGGTATATGTTTATGAGAAGCTGTGCCATGTGAGCATGAGGTAAGTCAGTGTTGGGGGTTCAAACCAGTCCCTATTAAACTTCACTTTGTAGTCCATATTTAAATCACTATAGACTGTACTTTGAAAACACTGTGTACACTCCCTATGCTGGCCTCATACCATGAGCAGTGAGGGGAGGTGGGGTAGCCTAGTGGTTAAAGCGTTGGCTCGTCACGGCAAAGACCCGGGTTTAAATCCCCACATGGGTACAATGTGTGAAACCCATTTCTGGTGTCCCCCGCTGTGATGTTGCTGGAATATTGCTAAAAGCGGTGTAAAACCAAACTCAGCCATGAGCAGTGGATATATCACTATGCCTGCAGTATGTGAGGAACCATACCAAGTTATCCTGTATTGTATCTGAAATGACATGACTGTCAGTATTTTACTTGGAACCCTATCAAGACATTCTGTATTGGAACATGAAACCTTAGCATATGCTTAGTGTGTCAGCTTCAAGGTTTGCATCTAATATTACAACACAATGACCTGACATTCAGCCTCCACACAACAGCCTACAGTGGGCAGATATGGGGCCATTACTATAGAGTTTGTGATTTCTCCTAGTGGACACAGATCTGGACGCAGAATTGACCAAACAGGACATCACTTTAGACAATGAGCAGTCAAGTATCTGTTTTAATATCCATTACATTCACTTGTGATTTACAACGAGGAGTACTGGGGACCAATTAATCAAGGGTAATTCTCTGTGGATAGTGTATGTTTGATGTTTTTGTCAGAGTGATTTTCTACTTTATATATCCAAGAAGACAGGGAACACTGTGCCTATCATTTTGAGCAGATGAAGATTTTCATCATATATCTGTGTGCATCTGTTGTCAGCTGTCTGCTTCCTTTACTAAGAGTGAGTCAGTTTAGTTTTATGCCGCACTCAGCAGTCAGTAAATAATCAAGTCTGGACCAGACAATCCAGTGATCAACAGCATGAGCATCGATCTACGCAATTGGGATACAATGTCATGTGTCAGTGAGCCTGACCACCTGATCATGCTAGTTTTCTATAACAACAAGCTGAGGATCAATTCTAACCCGGATCTTCACAGTTAGATGGAGTCATCATCTTGAAGTGTGACAGATGAAGACACTACTACAGAAAGAATCTGATATAGTGTGGAGCTCAGCGGGAAGAACCTCAAGAAATTTACATATCCAAGGTTTGAGAAGTTTCTTTGTATGACTGTTGTTCTGTCAGGCTTCCGTTTGAACCAAGGTTTTACTGTTTTCAGAATTGGTGCATTTATATGTGTATATATATATTTATTGATTATATGTTTGTTAATGCTTGAATGAGTGCAGTTGTAGATAAGTGTTTTCCATGGTTGTTTGATAATGTTTTGTGCCACAAGTGCTGCCCCTGCTCACCTTTCTGTGAACAGCTGGTGTCATAACTATTGGATGGTGATTTATGTATGCAAGTGTATAGTCGACTGTGCTTTTTTAAAGGAAATGGTTTTGTTGCTTCTATTTATTGGAAAGAAACATGAAAAAACCCAGTGTCTTGGCTGTACAAGATCAGTAACTGTACCCACCATCAACACTGGTTGTTGAACATCCAACAGTCAGCTCTATGGTTGTACTGTTACAGTGTTCACAATCAGCACTTAGACTGTACTGTTACAGTGCTCACAGTGTACAACATGATTGTGCAGTTACATTGCACACAGTCAGCACTATGATTGTACTGTTAGATTGTCCACAGTGTACAATTGTACTGTTACATTGCACACAGTCAGCACTATGATTGTACTGTTAGATTGTCCACAGTGTTAGATTGTACATTGCACACAGTCAGCACTATGACACTGTTGATTGTACATTGTACTGTTGTCAGCACTATGATTGTAGACTGTTAGATTGTCCACAGTGTACGACATGATTGTACTGTTACATTGCACAGTCAGCACTATGATTGTACTTTTAGATTGTCCAGTGTACAATTGTACTGTTACATTGCACACAGTCAGCACTATGATTGTACTTTTAGATTGTCCATGATTGTACAATTGCACTGTTCCAGTGCCTACAGTTGCACTATGATTGTACTTTTAGATTGTCCAGTGTACACTGTTGCAGTGCCCACAGTCAGCACTATGATTGTACTTTTAGATTGTCCAGTGTACAATTGTACTGTTGCAGTGCCCACAGTCAAACATGTGGTACTGTTGTTCAAGACACATGGGAGGCATCTGTAGAGATGTTGATCAAGTACTGTTACAGATGTCTTCAGACCATTTCCTTCTTACGATGTCCACATCATCCCTCGAGTTCTGTGACTGTCTTTTAGTGTGTCCCTATGTCAGTCTATCAGTGAATGTAAGTGTCATGAGGGGTATCAGATATTCAGAGTGTTTACCTAAATTATCACAAAAGATGTTTAATTGGCATTTCTTATATGCACATATTATGCAGTATGTGTAAAGGTATTGACACAATATTACAGGTAATGTGAATTATACAGTGATATAGATCTATTTATGTCTACATTCCATGACATATTTGTGTTGCTGTATAATTATGCTTATCGGTTTTCAGAGAGCTGTGAATGAATGGATATGATTTTAGGCTGCTTTCAATTAACCAACAGTATCATGGCACCAGAAATGGACCTCACACATTGTACCCATGACATGATGAGCAAACGCTTCAACCACTAAGCAACCCATCACCCTTTACAGAGTGTTTTATTCTTTGTAAACTGATAGATGCTGTATTTTCATTCATTCATTTCACATTCTTTTTTAGGCCAACATCAGCACCCACACGACCATCTGACTACAATTTGATACATTTGGTCCAGGATCAAATATATACTTCTAAAGAGAAGTTGCAGTCAGCCTGTGACTATGGTTAATTTGGCAGTGGGGTAACCTAGTGGTTAAAGCGTTAGCTCGTCTTGCCAAAGACACGGGTTTGATTCCCCATATGGGCACAATGTGTGAAGCACATTTCTGGTGTCTCCTGCAGTGATAACACTGGAATATTGCTACAAGGGGTGTAAAACCATACTCCCTCACTAATTTGTCATGTGTTCTTTAGCTTCTAGAGAGTGTTTTGTTGGACTAGGTGCTGTTGAACTTAGCGGTAAGATGATTGTAGCCCCCATATTTTAACATGGTCTTACTACAGTCTCAGTCATAAGATTGTGTTTTTTTACCCCAGCATCAGGCCAATATATCAGTGTTAGAGTAAAAGTGTGTGCTACACCAAAATTCTTCTGGAACCAATCCCCAAAAGTCATATTATCCTTTGTGAAATATGAGTTAGAAGTGGTCCTATGACTCATAGGTGTGTTGGTTTTCTGAGTACATCCATATGAATTGTTAATGAAACACCAGACTTAGTTAAGGTTTTAGCAAATATTAGATGATTAACTTAACCTCACTCCATTACACTACCATGGTTACTAGTGAGGTTTATCTTTGTTAAGGTTTTAGCAAATATTAGATGATTAACTTAACCTCACTCCATTACACTACCATGGTTACTAGTGAGGTTTATCTTTGTTAAGGTTTTAGCAAATATTAGATGATTAACTTAACCTCACTCCATTACACTACCATGGTTACTAGTGAGGTTTATCTTTGTTAAGGTTTTAGCAAATATTAGATGATTAACTTAACCTCACTCCATTTACACGCTACCATGGTTACTAGTGAGGTTTATCTTTGTTAAGGTTTTAGCAAATATTAGATGATTAACTTAACCTCACTCCATTACACTACCATGGTTACTAGTGAGGTTTTATCTTTGTTAAGGTTTTAGCAAATATTAGATGATGTTTTAACTTAATGCCCCTCACTCCATTACACTACCATGGTTACTAGTGAGGTTTATCTATTTGATTAAGGTTTTAGCAAATATTAGATGATTAACTTAACCTCCTCCATTGACACACTACCATGGTTACTAGTGAGGTTTATCTTTGTTAAGGTTTTAGCAAATATTAGATGATTAACTTAACCTCACTCCATTACGCTACCATGGTTACTAGTGAGGTTTATCTTTGTTAAGGTTTTAGCAAATATTAGATGATTAACTTAACCTCACTCCATTACGCTACCATGGTTACTAGTGAGGGTTTATCTTTGTTAAGGTTTTAGCAAATATTAGATGATTAACTTAACCTCACTCCATTACACTACCATGGTTACTAGTGTGGGTTTATCTTTGTTAAGGTTTTAGCAAATATTAGATGATTAACTTAACCTCACTCCATTACACTACCATGGTTACTAGTGAGGTTTATCTTTGTTAAGGTTTTAGCAAATATTAGATGATTAACAAATATTAGATGATTTAACCTCACTCCATTACACTACCATGGTTACTAGTGAGGTTTATCTTTGTTAAGGTTTTAGCAAATATTAGATGATTAACTTAACCTCACTCCATTACACTACCATGGTTACTAGTGAGGTTTATCTTTGTTAAGGTTTTAGCAAATATTAGATGATTAACTTAACCTCACTCCATTACGCTACCATGGTTACTAGTGAGGTTTATCTTTGGATTTGAGTCTCTGTTGATATTTGCTGACCCATTTGTTTCATGTCTGTATGTGCAATTGACATATTGAATTGTTGAAATTGTTTTCAAACCTGCTGTTTCAACTCAGTAGTATAACTGCTAGGTCCGTATTGAGCAAGACCCTATATGGGATATGACAACTGTTTAGTTTATATATTTTTACCTGCATTTTTATATTTGATTTCATTAAAATTTGTGGCATTTTCTTCAATTTTGAATCAAAATATTTCAGATTCGGATGTTTTAGTCAGTTTTCTTGAAGTCCGCATTTGTTGTTTGCATGCCCTTGTACTCAACAGGGGGGCTTTGTTCGTGTTATTAATCACTGGTCTGACCAGTCCATTTCTCACTCAACCTTATGATGCATCCTTCTGTTGTTCAGCTGTTCTGGTTTTGTATTTAAGGGTCCGTTCATAATTTATGGCAAGGAGGGTGATGATGGAGAAGCATGTATAATTTGAATGACATCCCCCCCCCAAAATAATGTGTATGTACAGAGTAAGTGACCCACCTGCATGTCATGTACAAATTCAATGACCAAACCCCACCCCAAAGTACATGTGTACAAAACTGATGACCCCCCTACCTCCCCAGAACAAGAAGGGTGACACCAGCATCATCATCAACCCCCTAGCCATAAATGTGGAACTTTCCCTAGAGTGTTGATTTCCATTCCAGCTTACACTCACCATGGTGTTTTCCTTTAACATGAGAAAACACAGTCCAGTTATTTCATTACAGAACAAGTTTTATGTGAATTTTTAGAATGAATGTGACTTTTGTTTTGGAATGTATGTAATAGATTTTAGAATAATTGAAAGGAGTGTGGTGCTTTTAAGTGTATGTCATTGCTAAATAAAATGCTTCAAAATGAACTTTATTATTTTCAGTATTATTTGCTGTATGTGTGTTCATAAAAGTTATATCTATCTGTACAATCCGTATACAAGAAATATGTACGTCTGTCTAGTACGTCATCTACATGAACGTTGAACAGTGTTCGCCAACGTCAGTTCGTGATACTATGTGTTCTTTGAATTATAAAGATCTGCCTTTCTTTCCTTATACAGTGGTATCTTTATTACTGACAGGCGCGTAGCAAGCCAATGTTTTCGTGTAAGTCCGATATGTTGCAAAGCTTTATATTCAGATAGTATTGAGGGCTTGTCCAGCCTTTTTAGCAACAATCATGTGTAAGCCCAGACTTTTTCTGTAACGGCAGCTACGCCCCAGACTGACGTATGTCAAATCACTAAATGCTGTATTGGACACGAGTTTCTGTCCTCGGCAACATATGGTGCTGACCCGTGAAGATCTGGCTTAGAATTGGTCTTCAGTAACCTATACTTGTCGTAAGAGGCGACTAACGGGATCGGGTGGTCAGGCTCGCTGACTTGGTTGACACATGTCATCTTATCCCAATTGTGTGCTGTTGATCACTGGATTGTCTGGTCCAGACTTCATTATTTTCAGACTGTCGCCATGTAGCTGGAATAGTGCTGAGTGCGGCTTAAGACTAAACTCACTCACTCACATATAGTAATATTGTCTAAAAAATGTTATTTAAACAATCGGACATGGTCATATTTGGGACAACTACCCCATCAGTTGCAACTGCCCCTACTACAGTCGCATGGCCAACATTTTCATCCATGATTATAAATTCTTGAACGTTCGATTGTTGTTACTTACGCCTCGTAAGACACCCAAACTGGTCACAACTTCATTATCAAATATGTACATATGCACATAACCTTTATTTAGAGTATGGTCAGTGTGATTACACCACCAATCTGAGTGTCACACGGTTCTCAAATAATGAGTGTTGTGATTGTATGTCCCACCACTGGTAACCATACCAGTAACTGGTGTAGCTACCCCTCGAATGGATAACAACTGCCAGAATCCTCGTACTAAATGAAATATACTTAGAAAACCCGACAGACCGTGTGCGCGTCATGCCAGAAAGCGCACGTAAAATCTCCAAAGTAAGCACACAGGATCGCATAAAAAAACCCCCACTCAATGGGAAACTTGGGTGGGTTTGGTTTGAATGTTGTTTGACGCCGCACTCAGCAATACTACAGATATATGTAAATAATCGAGTCAAGACCAGACAATCTAGTGATCAACAGCATGAGCATCTTTCTACGCAGTTGGGATACGATGACGTGTTAATCAAGTCAGCGAGCCTGACCGCCCGATCGCTTTGGGCGCCTCTTACGACTAGCATGGGTTACCGAAGATCAATTCTAACCCGGATGTTCACGGGTCGGGAAATTTGGGAGCCGCATGTAAACAAACTCACTAAAAACTTTAGGCAACTCTGTCAGCAATGTTATTTGTGATGGTAAAATGACGACGTAATTTTCGTCGATTTCGACAAAATATAGAATATTTTGGGCTGATTCTAAATCATAATCTTGGCTGATGATATCAACCAAGCTTTATGTAGACCAAAGCGAGAGATATTAATGGTGAATAGTGTAAACTAATATCCACTCCAGTCTTTCACCCGTGCGATTGTGAACTTATTAATCACCTCTTACGCACAATGGATTTACAGACTTCGGTACAAACAGACATCGATGCTAATATTGCCTTACGAATAAAATAAACAAAAAAACAGAAGTATCTTTACTAACGACAACATTTATTGCAATAATTCACAGGTTAAGTACAACATGAAACAGATATTGTGATTTGTAAAATATCACTCGTATGAACAGATAATTACATCGGCTTTGTGTTTTATACTCTCAGTTGTGTAGCAAATGTTAGATTTAAACACAGAACATTGTGAACATTGAGAACAGATTTTAAAGACTTCAAATTGATGTTTCTGTTCAATATTTTTGTGTTCATTTGATGGATACATTGTTTCGGCAAGATTGTGACATTGAATATATTTGTCATTACGTATTATAGGGTTGCCGCCTCAACCAGTCTACCCAAAGCTCTCCTTGACAAAAACTGATAAATAAAATATTTAAGAAGTGACGACCAAGAACTTGACAGCGATGAAAAGGATGCTATTGCGTTTTTTCGAGTGCTTTATTGTCACATACCTGATACTTTAGGTATACTATTTGTTTTCTAATTCGATGTATATTTAAAATATTTGGCCTCTTTGGGGTTAAATTGACAAACAAAGCCAAAACAATATATTTCCGTTTTCTGGATACATCTGGCCGTGGTCAGACATTTTCATTTGTGCAAAGAACAAACAGATCTTACAGCAACAGTGTCATACGTATACATTACGTGGTATGGATGGATTATTAAGGGGTAGAGGGCACTTTGACACCAACTTACAGTCTATCCTGCAGTGCTGTTGTCTTTCTACATCATGACAAGCGTATTATAAGTTTACATACAGACTTGATAAATATAGACGACAAAACATTTACATAATACTAAGAAATGTACCTAGAGGGTTTCAAACGCCAATCTCTCCCTGTTTGAAAATCACGTACGCCATATCATGGGTCATTAGGAGTGGGTGAATTCAAAGAACAACTTCGGAACGGACAATTCCTCTACAAACGCAGAACCTGAAGGGACAATAGATTGACAAACTATTTTTGAAATCTGTATAAACTGGCCATATTTTCATTGTGGTATATATCAGGTGAACTTTTGTGTAAATTGAACATCAGGTGGAATAACGCCCTGTTTAGTTTTAAGCCGCTTTTAGCAATATTCCAGCAATATGACGGCGGGGGACACCAGAACTGGGCTTCACACATTATACCCATGTGGGGAATCGAACCGGTTATACCCATGTGGGGAATCGAACCGGTTCTTCCGCTTTAACCACTAAGTTACCCAACCGACCCCCATTATATGATCAGAGTATTACCAGGTGTGTGTTAACTGTGCTAAACACAGCATGTAACCAGGCATGTGTAACGCCAGGCTTACAGCCACGATATTTAACAAAGTGTATTGCATATATTATTCAAAACAAATTGAAGAACACCCACAAGGGAACCATGTGTTTCAATATATTCAAACCAGGGCATATTTACTACAATCAGAGGTGTCCGTAATATATACTGAGAGAAACAAATAAAGGAACACAGGAATATTCAAGTGTCCCTTTAATATTCTCCAGTTTTCACCACCAGTTTTGAATAGTGTTGTTGGAGGAAATCTGAGAATAAATAAAGGAACACTGCCACGAAGTGGTGTTCCCTTATTTCTTCCCCTCAGTATATTTAGTATACCTGTAAGATAAAACACTGTAACATAACATGGAGATTGTCAAGACTATTGTGACACAACAGTAGGACAATATGTGAGCCAAGAGGCATCAATTAGGCTGTGCTGGATGTGTCTTGGGTATGACGAAAGAGACGAAACTGTGCTATGTTTCTGAAACCTTGCCAGTTAATTCTGCAGATAATGGCCATTTTACCGTGTTCACATCAGTGTGGACCTCTGCAGTATAACGTGTGTATATGTATGAATTTGGTACCGTCGCGATATGGCTAAAATAATGCCGATGCCACGTAAAAGGTGAATTAAGTCACCCATTCACTCTGATTCACAGGACATACCTCCAGAAGCAGGGCCTCCAATCTGGACCTGGTTTCCATCTTCTCGGTGAGGGTGTCAATTGGTGCCACCTTCTTCACATCCATTCCATTGAGGAGTTGGTTGTCGATGGTACCATTTGGTTCCTTCCACACGGCACACACCTACAGCACAATGCGTTAGAACTGAACTCAGTTAGGGGACATTCCAGGAAAAAATACCCCCGACAACAAAAATCCGAAATAGGGAACACAAAACCTTAACCGTAAACTCTTTTTCAATTTGTCAAGTTGAGTGAGTGAGTTTAGTTTTACGCCACACTCAGCAATATTCCAGCTATATGGCGGCGGACTGTAAATAATCGAGTCAGGACCAGACAATCCAGTGATCAACAGCATGAGCATCGATCTACGCAATTGGGATACGATGATATATTTCAACCAAGTCAGCGAGCCTGACCACCCGATCCCGTTAGTCACCTCTTACGAATTTGACTGTTTTTTTAGGAAACTAGTCTTAATGCTTACTGCTTGGATGCGCTTGGCTTACACATGAGAGCCGAAGACCCTGGCTCGATTCCCCACAATGAGTACAATGTGTGAAGCCCATTTTCTGTTCCTCGTCGTGATATTGCCGGAATATTGCTAAAATCGGCGTAAACCATACTCACTCAAATATAACGATCAGAGTTCTATTTATGTTTTGTTATCCCTTGTAATGCATATGTACCGACCTTCTGACACTCTCTTACTTCCCAATAAGTACGAAATGTAAAATTAGAAACGTATTTGCTCCAATGCCACACGGTGAAAAAAGTCTCACCTTTGGGACAAAGATCAAACAGACGGTTACGGATGTTCCCACGATGATACAGATTGGATAGATGACGTGAACAGCAGCGATGTTTGCCGCCCCCAGTAGGTAGTACACAGGAACGCCAACCGCAGATACAAAGGCCACGGTATACACACTCATCCGGGTGTACCTACATGCAGACAGTAATAGGAGTGGGTGAGTTTGGCAGAAGGCGCTTTGACAGCGCGATGCAAGAAGAATACCGGAAGTGATGCAATAGGAAAACCGGAAGTGATACAGGTGCTAGACGTTAACCACTTTGGTGATACCCACGAGTAGGGTAACGGTTCTGACAAACTTAGAGACACAATCTGTACAGATATACCATGTATAATGCTACAAATATTTTAGTGTTAATGGGCGCAGCTAGGCAGATCCGTGATAAACAACATGTCCCGTACGATGAAACACACCAGCCTAGTCATCCACTGCATTGTCACTGATCCCCATTACCCGGGCCGGTCGGGTTCGCTCGTCACGCCGAAGACACGGGTTCGATTCCCCCATGGGTACAATGTGTGAAGCCCATTTATGGTGTCCCCCGCCGCTATATTGCTGGAATATTGCTAGAAGCGGCGTAAAACCATATTCACTTACTCATGAGTCTGGTTTACAACAGAAAGAAGTACTGTTCTGCCTCGTTGTCTCATGTAGGCCAAGAGGCCAAATATGAGGGTATAGCAAAAGGGTCGTAACATTGAAAGCATGAAACCCGAGTTACATTATGATGAGTTCACGTTTAACCTACAGACCCGTGCCAGTTATATTCGGACACTTGACGTAATTTCCATAGACTTACATGTTAATTTAGTGTAGCATAAATAATGTTAATAAATTTCATTTTCGTAAGATCCAAGTCAAATTTTGCAAACTTGTGAGGAATCATCTTACCTACAATCACATAATTTCTGTTTAATTTCCCGTTGCTTATCTATCGAATGGCAACAAGTTAAGCAACATATGTACAGTGCCGTGCACTCCTTTACCATGGCGGCCTATGGGCTTGTGCACTGTGGAGCCATACGCAAGTTGATAAATGTGATATTTTTAGTTAAATATTGGTCGGAGAATTGAACTGAAATTATGAGCGCAGAGCAGAGATGATTTCAAATTTGCAAGTCAAATTTTACATAGATCCATCCTAAACTCACTTCATGAAAATTATTTATGCGACACTGACATAGCATGCAGGTCTATGGGCATTTCGTCAAGTGTCCGAATATAAGTGTCACGGGTCTGTAGTTGAGTTCAATGCTGCCTTGAACAAAATGTACGTTATATCACGGTGTGCAAGGAAAACCGAATAAACTCAGCTTTTTAAAAGTTAAAAACAAAACAAACCCCCCACGATCACGAGCATCGAGCTACAAACACAGTAAGAAATACAGGGATTCGAACCCACGAGCATATGGCATGAAAATAGGACGCAGCTGTAAACTGCGATTTAGAAAGTCTGAGCAAGCCATGTGTTAACTGCTATATAGAGGGGTGTGGTAGGGTAGCCCAGTGGTTAGTGGCTCGTCACGCTGAAGACCCGGTTTCGATTCCCTACATGGGTACAGTTTCTGAAGCTCATTTCTGGTGCCCCCGCCGTGATATTGCTGGAATATTGCTAAAGGCGGCCTAAAACCTTACTCACTCACTGTATAGAGACCACAGATAGACAAAGGACGCACCTGCTGTCATTGATGCCATCGATTGAGATGTGACGTGTCTGCCAGCTGAGAAACAGGCCAAACAGCAATAACAAGCCCTTGAATACCAGAAGGATCGTCATCCAGTAACCTCGAGGAAAATACAGCCCAGAGTTAAATATTTTCCAGCTTTTGTTGAAAACATTTCCATCTGCACTCTTTGGCTAAATATAAGGTGTGATCGTAATTCATAAGCGTTTTGGATGTATTTGCACTGGATACTCCATTTTGTGTCTCTATTACTGCAATATATCTTGCATTAAAAATATAAAATGAAACGTTTTTGGTCTACTTCGTAATTATTACGTTATTTTTCGGTCTCCTGTGAATGTATACTCATAAAAAGGTGCAGTCAGGCAGCAGTTAATAATATTCCAGCTTAAAGCCCAACGTAGATAAATCACTGTGGTGACGTCACGTGACGACTTCTACAATATATGAATAATACGTTATATTTTCAGATGTGTTCTTAAGTACCTCCATATTTGCACGAGCAGACTTCAAACAGTGGCTGAATCAGGCGGTCACTATCAGCTGGATCTGACTGTGTAAACAAGAACACATACATATTATGCGACCTCAAATTACATAGTTACAACATAACATCGACCTAACATAGTGACTAGGCCAAAAATTAAATTCATAAGTTGTCATCGTCCGTCAGAAAATAATGCACACAATACTGCTACCTTCATGACGTGAAAACCAGATATCAACAACCAAAGTATTCCTAATCACAGTAAAAGGACAAAGTATGATGATGGGTTCCCATGAAAAATAACAATAAGTCTGAAATATCAGTGTGCCATAATGATTTATTTACAACTATCATTTTATCAACATACAAATAACATCAGTTTTAAAGTGCTCGTTAGCGTTACTCGGCTACCTTGAGGGGAAAATAACTTGTTCATGTTCGAATGATTGCAAATCGCTTCATGAAAATGTCTAAAAATTATACATTTTGCTCTAACTTTCACGTTCCGAGCTGGTAGAAGCCTAATATACGAAAGTGTAGAATTGAGTGAGTGTACTGAAATTTGTGCCATCAACAATAGACCGATCCAGTCCCGGCCGATAAGCCCCGCCCACTTCGTTTTGACGTTAGGGGGACAACCACTGGCAAATCACAATGGCGTCACCGCCGGAGAAACGTTACGTGATTGCGAACGTTGTTGGTGAATTCTGCTTGTGATACTTTGGTATCCGTCGTTTTGTGAATGTTATTTTAAGAGGCAAGTTATACGTATGTGATTTTTAATATATTTTAGCTGGCAGATTACAACTGGCGAGTGAAAATGAGTTACATGCCCGATGAAAAAGCGTCTCGACTAGCTGCTGAGACTGTAGGAAGCGTAATTTCTTTCGAATCAATTAATCTATCTGGCAATTATTCACCACCGTCACAGATATTAGCAGGGGAAGGATAACTAAATTTTGTTGTTTGGGTTTATAATTTTTAAAACTCGTGAACATCGTTTCGGTATCTATAAAAGATTATCAATACTGCGCGTGGCGCCTTTGCTTATCCGTTGGCCTTGTTCAAATTTAGTTAAATAATCTTAAAACATGGGTTTCTATCTTTTAATGAATTAAGAGAATGGTAAATAAAAAGCAGAAAATATTTCCCGTCTACTACTTCATGCACCTTATTTGTCTGTACAATTAATGTAAAACAAATCAATCACAGCATAATCTATTTGATCTTATTTGGAAATCTGGAAAAGGTAATTGGGCTTGTAAACAATATGTTTCCATGGACGTATCTGGACATACCCAGAAGCAAATATTCAACAGCTGATCTGCAGCAACTCTCAGTAAAGTTTCTCTCTTCAAAATCTGTACACCATGATAAAATCACACTGAATATAAGGAAATCATTTTTTTAATCATCATTTCCATTTAATTTTTCTATATGTACTTTGTTGTGGAATCCTAATTTACATACAAACTTCCACAATACTGGACTTCATGAACTGCCAGCGTTTATGTACAGGTATGTCACAGCACCAGAACACAAAGAAGATCCAAGATACTGTCTGCACCTGTACACTAGCTGACCCATCTTCCAGAAATAGGAAACATGTGATGCAAAATTTTGGAACAGAGAATACACAGTTATCCGAACAATTAACTAGCATTGAAATAGAATGTTACACAAAATACAAATGTAGATCTATTGTTTTTTCATCAGAGATGTTTAACTGCTAACTACTAGTGTAAATAAGGTGCAAAGAATATATCCTATGTTCAAAGCCTTCTGTCAATACAATTACATATTGACATTATTGCTTCTTAATTAAACAATGATAATCTTTGTTTTATTTGATCTGAGACCATATCCCTAGAGGACATAACACTGATTTTGATCTATTTCCTTCTGAGAGGATACTTACTGGTGTCATAACAATTATAATAAAGTTGATTCAAAATTTAGGTAAAAGTCCTAACAAAGGTTTAGGAAAACAGACATGAAAATGCCCTGAAGCGTTCACCTCCTACCACAAACCAGTGTGCAATTTAATATGAAGCTCATTTTGCAAATAACCATCAACAAACCTTGAACAATTTGTCCAAATCCACCATCTTAATAAACACTAGCTTTGGCTCAGTCTTCAAATATTAGTAACCTCCTAAAAACTTATCATACATCAGAAGAATTACATCAAATATGGGTTAAATATATGTTTCAATCTTTATTCCGTTACATGAAAAGTCAGCTGAGATTTTTTGTAAGTTATTCTGTTCCAGGACTGGATAATGCCCTGACCAGGGGTTTGACCAAAACGTAGCCTTTGCTTTTCAAATTTTCTGGATGTTGAAATAACTTTAATGAGTTATGATACTAGCAATCACTTTCAGAATTATCTTATTAGTAAATGTAGTATTTAAAAACATCTAAAAGCAGAAGCCAAGAAACTAAGTTAATACCAAGTGATTGTCCTGCCATGATATGTATGGTGTTTGTTTGCCTAGTTCTGCCTTAAAATCTAAAAAATCTGATATGTCAATCAATTGAATAATTATTTATTATTGATTAGATTATTATTAATTTTATTACCCTTCCCACGTTTACTAAAACAGCAAGATTCTTAAAACATACCTTGCTATCATTTCCAGTGAATTAATCAAAATTACAGTTGTAATATTACTCCTAAAATGTACCATTATATGTGAATAATTTATGTGGTAACAAAACTTCTAATAATGTTCTCGTAATTAATTAAGATATACACTTTATTTCACTCCTTCCAATACTCCAGAAAGTCACTATTCTTCTCACATAGTTTTCGTATTCGATCAACATGGAGGAAGGTAATTCAGTTCAAAGTCCCATGCAACTCTTTATAAAAAATCTGAAATATTTAAAGCATGGTTTTATAGGCACTCATATGAACTTATTTTGATACTTGGATATTGCATGATAGGCAACTGCTGACACTGACAATATTT